AGCACTTGCCCCTACAGCCCTGCTAGAGGCTACCTGGGGGAGCTTTGTCTGTGTCTCAGCACTTGCCCCTACAGCCCTGCTAGAGGCTACCTGGGGGAGCTTTGTCTGTGTCTCAGCACTTGCCCCTACAGCCCTGCTAGAGGCTACCTGGGGGAGCTTTGTCTGTGTCTCAGCACTTGCCCCTACAGCCCTGCTAGAGGCTACCTGGGGGAGCTTTGTCTGTGTCTCAGCACTTGCCCCTACAGCCCTGCTAGAGGCTACCTGGGGGAGCTTTGTCTGTGTCTCAGCACTTGCCCCTACAGCCCTGCTAGAGGCTACCTGGGGGAGCTTTGTCTCTGGTCACGGTTTTCGGCCTCACGAGACCCGGTTCCGTTGCGTTCCTGAGAGTCGCCTGGACACCAAAGCCAAAGCTCCCCCAGGTAGCCTCTAGCAGGGCTGCAGGGGTAAGTGCTGAGACACAGACAAAGCTCCCCCAGGTAGCCTCTAGCAGCGCTGTAGGGGCAAGTGCTGAGACACAGACAAAGCTCCCCCAGGTAGCCTCTAGCAGGGCTGTAGGGGCAAGTGCTGAGACACAGACAAAGCTCCCCCAGGTAGCCTCTAGCAGGGCTGTCCGGAGCAAGTGCTGAGACACAGACAAAGCTCCCCCAGGTAGCCTCTAGCAGGGCTGTCCGGAGCAAGTGCTGAGACACAGACAAAGGTCCCCCAGGTAGCCTCTAGCAGGAATGCAGGGGTAAGTGCTGAGACACAGACAAAGCTCCCCCAGGTAGCCTCTAGCAGGGCTGTAGGGGCAAGTGCTGAGACACAGACAAAGGTCCCCCAGGTAGCCTCTAGCAGGGCTGCAGGGGTAAGTGCTGAGACACAGACAAAGCTCCCCCAGGTAGCCTCTAGCAGGGCTGCAGGGGTAAGTGCTGAGACACAGACAAAGCTCCCCCAGGTAGCCTCTAGCAGGGCTGCAGAGGCAAGTGCTGAGACACAGACAAAGCTCCCCCAGGTAGCCTCTAGCATGGCCGTAGGGGCAAGTACTGAGACACAGACAAAGCTCCCCCAGGTAGCCTCTAGCAGGGCTGTTGGGGCAAGTGGTGTTAGGAGCGAGTAGCAGGGAGCTGGATGAGTGACTTGGGGAGTGACTTGGTGAGTGACTTAGTGACTCGCTGAGTGACTGGCTGAGTGAGTGACTTGGTGAATGACTTAGTGACTGGCTGAGTGAGTGACTTGGCGAGTAACTTGGTGAGTGACTTTGTGAGTAACTTGGTAAGTGACTTGGCGAGTGACTTGGTGAGTGACTTGGTAAGTGACTTGGTGAGTAACTTGGTGAGTGACTTGGTGAGTAACTTGGCGAGTAACTTGGCGAGTGACTTGGTGAGTAACTTGGTAAGTAACTTGGTGAGTGACTTGGTGAGTAACTTGGTGAGTGACTTGGTAAGTAACTTGGTGAGTGACTTGCCGAGTAACTTGGCGAGTAACTTGGTAAGTGACTTGGTGAGTAACTTGGTGAGTGACTTGGTAAGTAACTTGGTGAGTAACTTGGTGAGTGACTTGGTGAGTAACTTGGTGAGTGACTTGGTGAGTAACTTGGTGAGTGACTTGGTGAGTAACTTGGTAAGTGACTTGGTGAGTGACTTGGTGAGTAACTTGGTGACTGGCTGAGTGACTTGGTGAGTAACTTGGTGAGTAACTTGGTGAGTGACTTAGTGACTTGGTGAGTAACTTGGTAAGTGACTTGGCGAGTAACTTGGTGAGTAACTTGGCGAGTAACTTGGTGAGTGACTTGGTGAGTGACTTGGTGAGTAACTTGGTGAGTAACTTGGTGACTGGCTGAGTGACTTGGTGAGTAACTTGGTGAGTGGCTTGGTGAGTGGCTTGGTGAGTAACTTGGTGAGTAACTTGGCGAGTAACTTGGCGAGTGACTTTGTGACTGGCTGAGTGAGTGGCTGAGTGAGTAACTTGGTAAGTGACTTGGTGAGTGACTTGGTGACTGGCTGAGTGACTTGGTGAGTAACTTGGTGAGTGACTTGGTGAGTAACTTGGTGAGTGACTTGGTGAGTAACTTGGTGAGTGACTTGGTGAGTAACTTGGTGAGTGACTTGGTGAGTGACTTGGTGAGTAACTTGGTGAGTAACTTGGTGAGTGACTTGGTGAGTGACTTGGTGAGTAACTTGGTAAGTGACTTGGTGAGTAACTTGGTAAGCGACTTGGTGAGTGACTTGGTAAGTAACTTGGTGAGTGACTTGGTGAGTGACTTGGTGAGTAACTTGGTGAGTAACTTGGTAAGTAACTTGGTGAGTGACTTGGTGACTGGCTGAGTGACTTGGTGAGTAACTTGGTGACTGGCTGAGTGACTTGGTGAGTAACTTGGTGACTAGCTGAGTGACTTGGTGAGTAACTTGGTGAGTGACTTGGTGAGTGACTTGGTGAGTAACTTGGCGAGTAACTTGGTGAGTGACTTGGTGAGTAACTTGGTAAGTGACTTGGTGAGTAACTTGGTGAGTAACTTGGTGACTGGCTGAGTGACTTGGTGAGTAACTTGGTGAGTGACTTAGTGACTTGGTGAGTGACTTGGTGAGTAACTTGGTAAGTGACTTGGCGAGTAACTTGGTGAGTAACTTGGTGAGTAACTTGGTGAGTGACTTGGTGAGTGACTTGGTGAGTAACTTGGTGAGTAACTTGGTGAGTGACTTGGTGAGTAACTTGGTGAGTGACTTGGTAAGTAACTTGGTGAGTAACTTGGTGACTGGCTGAGTGACTTGGTGAGTAACTTGGTGAGTGACTTGGTGAGTGGCTTGGTGAGTAACTTGGTGAGTAACTTGGCGAGTAACTTGGCGAGTGACTTTGTGACTGGCTGAGTGAGTGGCTGAGTGAGTAACTTGGTAAGTGACTTGGTGAGTGACTTGGTGACTGGCTGAGTGACTTGGTGAGTAACTTGGTGAGTGACTTGGTGAGTGACTTGGTGAGTAACTTGGTGAGTGACTTGGTGAGTAACTTGGTGAGTGACTTGGTGAGTAACTTGGTGAGTAACTTGGTGAGTGACTTGGTGAGTAACTTGGTGAGTGACTTGGTGAGTGACTTGGTGAGTAACTTGGTAAGTGACTTGGTGAGTAACTTGGTAAGCGACTTGGTGAGTGACTTGGTAAGTAACTTGGTGAGTGACTTGGTGAGTAACTTGGTGAGTAACTTGGTGACTGGCTGAGTAACTTGGTGAGTGACTTGGTGAGTGACTTGGTGACTGGCTGAGTGACTTGGTGAGTAACTTGGTGAGTAACTTGGTGACTGGCTGAGTGACTTGGTGAGTAACTTGGTGAGTAACTTGGTGAACAACTCAGTCGCCAGACGAGCGGAAACTGCGGCCGTCATGACGTCACCACAGCAGCGTGTGAACTTTAACAGCTGAGACAAAGACAAAGATCCCCCAGGTAGCCTCCAGGCAGGGCTGAGTGTGTACACAGGTGTGGGTGTGTACAGGTGTAGGTGTGTACAGGTGTGAGTGTGTACAGGTGTAGGTGTGTACAGGTGTGAGTGTGTACAGGTGTAGGTGTGTACAGGTGTAGGTGTGTACAGGTGTGTGTACAGGTGTAGGTGTGTACAGGTGTAGGTGTGTACAGGTGTAGGTGTGTACAGGTGTGGGTCTGTACAGGTGTGAGTGTGTACAGGTGTGTGTACAGGTGTAGGTGTGTACAGGTGTGTGTACAGGTTTAGGTGTGTACAGGTGTAGGTGTGTATACAGGTGTAGGTGTGTACAGGTGAGAGTGTGTACAGGTGTAGGTGTGTACAGGTGTGTTTACAGGTGTAGGTGTGTACAGGTGTAGGTGTGTACAGGTGTAGGTGTGTACAGGTGTGTGTACAGGTGTAGGTGTGTACAGGTGTAGGTGTGTACAGGTGTGTGTACAGGTGTAGGTGTGTACAGGTGTAGGTGTGTACACAGGTGAGAGTGTGTACAGGTGTAGGTGTGTTTACAGGTGAGAGTGTGTACACAGGTGTAGGTGTGTACATTTGTGTGTACAGGTGAGAGTGTGTACAGGTGTGAGTGTGTACAGGTGAGAGTGTACAGGTGTGAGTGTGTACACAGGTGAGAGTGTGTACACAGGTGTAGGTGTACACAGGTGTAGGTGTGTACAGGTGTAGGTGTGTACAGGTGTGAGTGTGTACAGGTGTAGGTGTGTACAGGTGTGAGTGTGTACAGGTGTGTGTACAGGTGAGAGTGTACAGGTGTGAGTGTGTACAGGTGAGAGTGTACAGGTGTGAGTGTGTACACAGGTGAGAGTGTGTACACAGGTGTAGGTGTACACAGGTGTAGGTGTGTACAGGTGTAGGTGTGTACAGGTGTGAGAGTGTACAGGTGTGGGTGTGTACAGGTGTAGGTGTGTATACAGGTGAGAGTGTGTACACAGGTGTAGGTGTGTACAGGTGTAGGTGTGTACAGGTGAGAGTGTACAGATGAGTGTGTGTACAGGTGTGTGTGTGAGTGTACAGGTGTGTGTGTACAGGTGTAGGTGTGTACAGGTGATAGTGTGTACACAGGTGTGTACACAGGTGAGAGTGTGTACACAGGTGTAGGTGTGTACACAGGTGTAGGTGTGTACACAGGTGAGACTGTGTACACAGGTGTGGGTGTGTACAAGTGTGTGTGTACAGGTGAGAGTGTGTACAGATGTGTGTGTACAGGTGTGTGTGTGAGTGTACAGGTGTGTAAGTGTACAGGTGTCTGTGTATGTACAGGTAACGGGAGCGGTAGTGTAGCGGTTAGCGCTACGCTGCGCTATGAACCTGGCGACCCGGGTTCGATTCCCGCTCACGGCCAACACCAGTGACGATTATCTGAACCGGTGCCCGGCCTCCCCTAGGTCGACTCAGCCTTCAATGAGTACCTGGTGCGGTGGATAAAAACATCGCCACTGGGGAGACAAAGGCGGTCGGGCGTGGTGCTGGCCACCCACCCCCTCGTGTACCATTCCGGCCTTCATAGGTGCTCGCTAACAGCACTTGCCCCTACAGTCTGTCAAGGCTATGAGGGGGATCTTTGTCTTTGTGTGTACAGGTGTAGTGTGTGCGCAGGTGTGAGTGTATAAAGGGGAGCTGGGAGGAGTTCCGGGTTCAGCTGTTTGCTGTTTGTCGCTGTTGCTGTTTGCTCGCTCGCTCGCTATGAAGGCCGCGGTCATCTCGCTCGTGGTGATGGTGGTGGCGGTGATGATGGTGGCTGTGGGTAAGTGGTGTGAGAGCCGTCTGTGGGCAGTGTATGTGTACCTGTGTGTGTACCTGTGTGTGTACCTGTGTGTCTGTGTGTGTACCTGTGTGTCTGTGTGTGTAACTGTGTGTGTATGTGTACCTGTGTGTGTGTCTACCTGTGTGTAATACCTGTTTGTGTGTGTACTTGTGTGTGTGTACCTGTGTGTGTGTGTGTGTACCTGTGTGTGTGTGTGTGTACCTGTGTGTGTGTGTGTGTACCTGTGTGTGTGTGTACCTGTGTGTGTGTGTGTACCTGTGTGTGTGTGTACCTGTGTGTGTGTGTACACCTGTGTGTGTGTACACCTGTGTGTGTGTACACCTGTGTGTGTGTGTGTACACCTGTGTGTGTGCGTGTACCTGTGTGTGTGCGTGTACCTGTGTATGTGTGTACCTGTGTATGTGTGTACCTGTGTGTGTGTGTAAGAAACATTTAGGCTGGCCTGCCTACGATCCATCCTGGGTTTAACCAGGCTGGATTGTGTGAGGAGCTCACAAATCCTTGAAAGATCTGGGCAAGGTCCCATCGGTGAGCTCCTCCGGCAGGCAAGGCTGCGATGGCTGGGTCATGTAGCCCGCATGCCCAGCCACCGCATGCCGAAACAGCTTTTGTTTGGCCGGATCGTGGGGGCTAAACGGGCGCGGCACGGGCTAGAGAAGAGATGGAGTGACGTGGTACAGGAGGACGTGGAGCTGAGTGGACTTGCCGATGATTGGTACCAGCAGTGTCAAGATCGGCCTCTGTGGAGGAGGCTCGTGAAGGATGCTACTGGGCAGTTGGAGGCAGTCGCCCTCCAACAACAACGGAGGGCGGAGGAGCGACGCTCACAACAACGAGCGGAGCGCCGGGTGGCTAAAGCACAGCGGGTTGGCACAGTAGGGGGCACAGGTGGTGCATCAGCCAGTCATCTCAGTCAGTCGACCCGTGGCACCTGCTGGGTCTGCCCCGTGACCTCCTGCCAGCGGGCGTTCGACACTTCACGTGGCCTCAGGGTGCACATAGCCTGGCACAAGCGTCGTGGTGACGTCAACGCCACTTAGTGGCGAATGGCGGTTGTTGTTGTTGTTGTGTGTAGTGTGTGTCTATGTGTGTGTGTGTACCTGTGTGTGTGTGTGTACCTGTGTGTGTGTGTGTATACCTGTGTGTGTGTGTACCTGTGTGTGTCTACCTGTGTGTGTATGTCTACCTGTGTGTGTGTGTGTGTGTACCTGTGTGTGTGTGTGTACCTGTGTGTGTGTCTACCTGTGTGTGTCTACACACACACAGGTAGACAAACAGCGATAGTGTAGCGGTTAGCGCTACGCTGCGCTATGAACCTGGCGACCCGGGTTCGATTCCCGCTCACGGCCAACACCAGTGACGATTATCTGAACCGGTCCCGAGCCTCCCCTAGGTCGACTCAGCCTCAAATGAGTACCTGGTGCGGTGTGTAATAAACATCGCCACAAGGGAGACAAAGGCGGTCGGGCGTGGTGCTGGCCACCCACCCCCTCGTGTACCGTTCCGGCCTTCATAGGTGCTCGCTAACAGCACTTGCCCCTACAGTCTGTTAAGGCTATATGGGGGATCTTTGTCTACCTGTGTGTGTACACTTTGTGTGTGTGTGTGTACCTGTGTGTGTGTACACTGTGTGTGTGTACACTGTGTGTGTGTGTACACTGTGTGTGTGTGTACACTGTGTGTATGTACCCTGTGTGTGTGTACACTGTGTGTGTGTGTACACTGTGTGTGTGTGTGTGTACACTGTGTGTGTGTGTGTACACTGTGTGTGTGTGTGTACACTGTGTGTGTACACTGTGTGTGTGTACCCTGTGTGTGTCTACCTGTGTGTGTGTACCCTGTGTGTATGTGTGTGTACACTGTGTGTGTGTGTACACTGTGTGTGTGTCTACCTGTGTGTGTGTGTACCTGTGTGTGTGTCTACCTGGGTGTGTGTACCCTGTGTGTCACTATGTGTACACTGTGTGTGTGTGTGTACACTGTGTGTGTGTGCGTGTACACTGTGTGTGTGCATGTACACTGTGTGTGTGCGTGTGTACACTGTGTGTGTGTGTACACTGTGTGTGTGTGCATGTACACTGTGTGTGTGTGCATGTACACTGTGTGTGTGCGTGTGTACACTGTGTGTGTGTGTGTACACTGTGTGTGTGTGTACCTGTGTGTGTGTGTACACTGTGTGTGTGTGTCTACCTGTGTGTGTGTACACTGTGTGTGTGTGTACACTGTGTGTGTGTGTACACTGTGTGTCTAGCTGTGTGTGTACACTGTGTGTGTGTGTGTCTACCTGTGTGTGTGCACACTGTGTGTGTGCGTATGTGTACACTGTGTGTGTGTACACTGTGTGTGTGTGTGTGTCACTGTGTGTGTATCACTGTGTGTGTGTGTCACTGTGTGTGTATCACTGTGTGTGTGTGTATCACTGTGTGTGTGTGTACACTGTGTGTGTGTGTACACTGTGTGTGTGTACACTGTGTGTGTGTACACTGTGTGTGTGTGTGTGTACACTGTGTGTGTGTACACTGTGTGTGTGTACACTGTGTGTGTGTGTGTACTGTTTGTGTGTCTACCTGTGTGTGTGTGTACTGTTTGTGTGTCTACCTGTGTGTGTGTGTGTACACTGTGTGTGTACACTGTGTTTGTACACTGTGTGTGTACACTGTGTGTGTGTGTACACTGTGTGTGTGTGTACACTGTGTGTGTGTGTACACTGTGTGTGTACACTGTGTGTGTGTGTGTACACTGTGTGTGTGTGTGTACACTGTGTGTGTGTGTGTACACTGTGTGTGTGTGTGTACACTGTGTGTGTGTGTACACTGTGTGTGTACACTGTGTGTGTGTACACTGTGTGTGTACACTGTGTGTGTGTACACTGTGTGTGTGTACACTGTGTGTGTGTGTACACTGTGTGTGTGTACACTGTGTGTGTGTACACTGTGTGTGTGTACACTGTGTGTGTGTGTGTACACTGTGTGTGTGTGTGTGTACACTGTGTGTGTGTGTGTACACTGTGTGTGTGTGTGTACACTGTGTGTGTGTGTGTACACTGTGTGTGTGTGTGTACACTGTGTGTGTGTGTGTACTCGCAGGGGAGGGCCAGGACATCCAGAAGAGTGAAGGACAGGAGAGAGAAGTGAGACAACACTCACTCATTCACTCACTCATACACTCACTCATTCACTCACTAAGTCACTCACTCATACACTCACTCATACACTCACTCACTCATACACTCACTCACTCATACACTCACTCACTCATACACTCACTCACTCATACACTCACTCACTCATACACTCACTCATACACTCACTCATACACTCACTCACTCATACACTCACTCATACACTCACTCACTCATACACTCACTCACTCATACACTCACTCATACACTCACTCATACACTCACTCACTCATACACTCACTCATTCACTCACTCATACACTCACTCATTCACTCACTCACTCATACACTCACTCATACACTCACTCATACACTCACTCATTCACTCACTCATACACTCACTCACTCATACACTCACTCATACACTCACTCATACACTCACTCATACACTCACTCATACACTCACTCACTCATACACTCACTCATACACTCACTCATACACTCACTCACTCATACACTCACTCATACACTCACTCACTCATACACTCACTCACTCATACACTCATACACTCACTCACTCATACACTCACTCATACACTCACTCACTCATACACTCACTCATACACTCACTCATACGCTCACTCATACGCTCACTCATACGCTCACTCATACACTCACTCATACACTCACTCATACACTCACTCATATACTCACTCATACACTCACTCATACACTCACTCACTCATATACTCACTCACTAATACACTCACTCATACACTCACTCATACACTCACTCACTCATACACTCACTCACTCATACACTCACTCACTCATACACTCACTCACTCATGCACTCACTCACTCATACACTCACTCACTCATGCACTCACTCACTCATACACTCATACACTCACTCATACACTCACTCATACACTCACTCACTCATACACTCACTCACTCATACACACACTCACTTATACACTCACTCACTCACTCATACACACACTCACTCATACACTCACTCATACACACACTCACTCATACACTCACTCACTCACCCACTCACTCACTCATACACTCACTCACTCACCCACTCACTCATACACTCACTCACCCACTCACTCACTCATACACTCACTCATACACTGACTCACTCATACACTCACTTACTCACCCACTCACTCACTCATACACTCACTCATACACTCACTCATACACTCACTCATACACTCATACACTCACTCACTCATTCATACACTCATTCATACACTCATACACTCATTCATACACTCACTTATACACTCACTCACACACTCACTCACTCATACACTCACTCATACACTCATACACTCACTCACACACTCACTCACTCATACACTCACTCATACACTCATACACTCACTCACTCACACACTCATACACTCATTCATACACTCATTCACTCACTCATACACTCACTCATACACTCACTCATACACTCACTCATACACTCACTCACACACTCACTCACTCATACACTCATACACTCACTCACTCATACACTCACTCACTCACACACTCATACACTCATTCATACTCTCACTCTCACTCACTCATACACTCATACACTCACTCATACACTCATACACTCACTCATACACTCACACACTCACTCATACACTCACTCACTAATACACTCATTCATACACTCACTCACTCATACACTCACTCACTCATACACTCACTCACTCACTCATACACTCATACACTCACTCACTCATACACTCATACACTCACTCATACACTCACACACTCACTCATACACTCACTCACTAATACACTCATTCATACACTCACTCACTCATACACTCACTCACTCATACACTCACTCACTCACTCATACACTCACTCACTCACCCACTCACTCACTCACCCACTCACTCACTCATACACTCACTCACTCACCCACTCACTCACTCATACACTCACTCACTCATACACTCACTCACCCACTCACTCACTCATACACTCACTCATACACTGACTCACTCATACACTCACTTACTCACCCACTCATTCACTCATACACTCACTCATACACTCACTCACTTATACACTCACTCACTCATACACTCACTCACTCACTTATACACTCACTCACTTATACACTCACTCACTCATACACTCACTCACTCACTTATACACTCACTCACTTATACACTCACTCACTCATACACTCACTCATACACTCACTCACTCATACACTCACTCATACACTCACTCACCCACTCACTCACTCATACACTCACTCATACACTGACTCACTCATACACTCACTTACTCACCCACTCACTCACTCATACACTCACTCATACACTCACTCACTTATACACTCACCCACCCACCCATTCACTCACTCACCCACTCACCCACCCACTCACCCACTCACCCACTCACTCACTCACCCACCCACCCACTCACCCACTCACTCACCCACTCACCCACTCACTCACTCACCCACCCACTCACTCACTCACCCACTCACCCACTCACTCACCCACCCACCCACACACCCACTCACCCACTCACCCACTCACTCACCCACCCACCCACACACCCACACACCCACTCACCCACCCACCCACACACCCACACACCCACTCACCCACTCACTCACCCACTCACCCCCCCCCCCCCCCCCCCCCCCCCCCCCCCCCCCACCACCCCCCCCCCACAGGCTGACTGCTCTTCCTTCTCCGCGATGCTCCCGGGCTGTCCCAGGAACTTTGCCGCCGTCTGTGGCTCAGACGGCCGCGAATACCCCAACGAGTGCACGCTCTGTGCACACAACCTGTGAGTAGGGTGCACGCTCTGTGCACACAACCTGTGAGTAGGGTGCACCTAGCCTGGCACCGACATGACCTGTGAGTAGAGTGTGTGCACACAACCTGTGAGTAGGGTGCACGCTCTGTGCACACAACCTGTGAGTAGGGTGCACCTAGCCTGGCACCGACATGACCTGTGAGTAGGGTGCACGCTCTGTGCACACAACCTGTGAGTAGGGTGCACCTAGCCTGGCACTGATACAACCTGTGAGTAGGGTGCACGCTCTGTGCACACAACCTGTGAGTAGGGTGCACCTAGCCTGGCACCGACACAACCTGTGAGTAGGGTGCACGCTCTGTGCACACAACGTGTGAGTAGGGTGCACCTAGCCTGGCACCGACATGACCTGTGAGTATGGTGCACCTAGCCTGGCACCGACATGACCTGTGAGTAGGGTGCACGCTCTGTGCACACAACCTGTGAGTATGGTGCACCTAGCCTGGCACCGACACAACCTGTGAGTATGGTGCACCTAGCCTGGCACCGACATGACCTGTGAGTATGGTGCACCTAGCCTGGCACCGACACAGCCTGTGAGGAGTGTGTGTACACAACCTGTGAGTAGGGTGCACCTAGCCTGGCACCGACATGACCTGTGAGTAGGGTGCACGCTCTGTGCACACAACCTGTGAGTAGGGTGCACCTAGCCTGGCACTGAGACAACCTGTGAGTATGGTGCACCTAGCCTGGCACTGACATGACCTGTGAGTAGGGTGCACGCTCTGTGCACACAACCTGTGAGTATGGTGCACCTAGCCTGGCACTGAGACAACCTGTGAGGAGTGTGTGTACACAACCTGTGAGTATGGTGCACCTAGCCTGGCACTGACACAACCTGTGAGTATGGTGCACCTAGCCTGGCACTGAGACAGCCTGTGAGCGTGCACGCTCTGTGCACACAACCTGTGAGTAGGGTGCACCTAGCCTGGCACCGACATGACCTGTGAGTAGGGTGCACGCTCTGTGCACACAACCTGTGAGTATGGTGCACCTAGCCTGGCACTGAGACAACCTGTGAGTATGGTGCACCTAGCCTGGCACTGACATGACCTGTGAGTAGGGTGCACGCTCTGTGCACACAACCTGTGAGTATGGTGCACCTAGCCTGGCACTGAGACAACCTGTGAGTATGGTGCACCTAGCCTGGCACTGATACAGCCTGTGAGTAGGGTGCACCTAGCCTGGCACTGACACAACCTGTGAGGAGTGTGTGTACACAACCTGTGAGTATGGTGCACCTAGCCTGGCACTGACATGACCTGTGAGTAGGGTGCACGCTCTGTGCACACAACCTGTGAGTATGGTGCACCTAGCCTGGCACTGAGACAACCTGTGAGTATGGTGCACCTAGCCTGGCACTGAGACAACCTGTGAGTAGGGTGCACCTAGCCTGGCACCGACATGACCTGTGAGTAGAGTGTGTGTACACAACCTGTGAGTAGGGTGCACGCTCTGTGCACACAACCTGTGAGTATGGTGCACCTAGCCTGGCACCGACATGACCTGTGAGTAGGGTGCACGCTCTGTGCACACAACCTGTGAGTAGTGTGTGCACCTAGCCTGGCACTGACACAGCCTGTGAGTATGGTGCACCTAGCCTGGCACTGTCACAACCTGTGAGTATGGTGCACCTAGCCTGGCACTGACACAGCCTGTGAGTAGGGTGCACGCTCTGTGCACACAACCTGTGAGTATGGTGCACCTAGCCTGGCACCGACATGACCTGTGAGTAGGGTGCACGCTCTGTGCACACAACCTGTGAGTAGGGTGCACCTAGCCTGGCACCGACACAGCCTGTGAGTATGGTGCACCTAGCCTGGCACCGACATGACCTGTGAGTAGGGTGCACCTAGCCTGGCACTGACACAGCCTGTGAGTAGGGTGCACGCTCTGTGCACACAACCTGTGAGTAGGGTGCACCTAGCCTGGCACCGACACAGCCTGTGAGTATGGTGCACCTAGCCTGGCACTGACATGACCTGTGAGTATGGTGCACCTAGCCTGGCACTGACACAGCCTGTGAGTATGGTGCACCTAGCCTGGCACTGAGACAACCTGTGAGTAGGGTGCACCTAGCCTGGCACTGACACAACCTGTGAGTATGGTGCACCTAGCCTGGCACTGATACAACCTGTGAGTAGGGTGTGCACCTAGCCTGGCACTGACATGACCTGTGAGTATGGTGCACCTAGCCTGGCACTGACACAACCTGTGAGTATGGTGCACCTAGCCTGGCACTGATACAGCCTGTGAGTATGGTGTGCACCTAGCCTGGCACTGAGACAGCCTGTGAGTATGGTGCACCTAGCCTGGCACTGAGACAGCCTGTGAGTATGGTGCACCTAGCCTGGCACTGACATGACCTGTGAGTATGGTGCACCTAGCCTGGCACCGAGACAACCTGTGAGTATGGTGCACCTAGCCTGGCACCGACATGACCTGTGAGTATGGTGCACCTAGCCTGGCACTGACACAACCTGTGAGTAGGGTGTGCACCTAGCCTGGCACTGACACAGCCTGTGAGTATGGTGCACCTAGCCTGGCACTGACATGACCTGTGAGTATGGTGCACCTAGCCTGGCACTGAGACAGCCTGTGAGTATGGTGCACCTAGCCTGGCACTGACACAACCTGTGAGTAGGGTGTGCATCTAGCCTGGAACGGACACGTGTGTATGTGTGTGTCTGTGTGTCTGTGTGTGTTTACGTGTCTGTGTGTGTTTATGTGTCTGTGTGTGTTTATGTGTCTGTGTGTGTCTGTGTCCGTGTGTGTCTGTGTCCGTGTGTCTATACCTGTGTGTGTCTACCTGTGTGTGTGTCTACCTGTGTGTGTGTCTACCTGTGTGTGTGTCTACCTGTGTGTGTGTGTCTACCTGTGTGTGTGTCTACCTGTGTGTGTGTCTACCTGTGTGTGTGTGTACCTGTGTGTGTGTGTACCTGTGTGTGTCTACCTGTGTGTGTCTACCTGTGTGTGTGTGTACCTGTGTGTGTACGTGTGTGTGTGTGTGTCTACCTGTGTGTGTGTATTTGTGTGTACTGCACAGATGACATATTTTTCTGTCCGTCTGCTACAGCAGAGGTGTAGGGAATTCCAACAAGACCTACATCTCTGATTTATTGACCTGGTCAAGGCCTATGAGACCATCAGTAGGCCTGGCCTCTGGGTCGTTCTTCGTGCTTTTGGAGTCCCTGACCCTCCGTTCTGAAACCGCTGTCCTACCTCAAAGTGTCCTCCTCTACCGGTGCAGATAGTTTTCCCGTCTTTGCTCTGCTAACTGTTGGTCACCTAATGTACAAACCTATAGCCCCATATTTTCAACCTGTCCATCAAAGGAGCATCAGTTCCTCTAGAATGGAAACATTCCTATGTCCGTCCACTTCGCAAAGGGGGGCCCTTAAGATGATCCCGATAACTACCGGCCTATCTCAATTTCGTCCCCGTTGATGGAAAATCTTCGAAAAATGATTGAACTACCAAATTAGCGGTTTCCTGTCCACCGACAATCTACCACATCTAAAACAATCTGGGTTCCGCAAAAAAAAAATACAGCTGCATTAGACTCTCCGAATCAAATTTACAGTCACCTTGATAATAAGCGGTACTGTTACCTGTCTTTTTCTTGACCTGTCCAAAGCTTTCGATACAGTAGACCACAACACCCCCTGCTTAGTAAACTAAGTTGCCTCGGTGTTCTCCCGAAAACGCGGTACAATGGTTAAAAGATTTCCTCTTTTCTCGCACCCAAGCTGTGCTCACAGATGGTTGGAGGTCAAACGGCGTCAAGATAACTCAAGGGGTTCCACAGGGTTCCATCCTCGGGCCCCCTCTTGTTCTCTCTCTACGTCAATGACTTGGGCACTGACCCGGATCATTCCGGGGTAGATCTTTTTGCAGATGACACGATACTGATTACTGCTGGCCGCTCTCCGGATGACGTGATTGCTAAGCTCTCCAGGGCGATTTCAACAAACTACAACATCAGCTAGCTGCTCTTAAACTAGTCCTGAATACCTCCAAAACCAAGGTGCTATGCTTCTCACCGGGACTAAAGCGGGAAGTTATTTTTCCCCAGTTACATTCCTTGAATAATTATCAAATAGAGCAAGTCAAGGTTTATGAGTATCTTGGGGTCATCCTGGATTCAAACACTGAATTTTGAAGATCACACTGATTATATTGGTAAAAAGACAAAAAAATTGGTTTTCTGTATCGACACAAGCACTGCTTCCCCCCAATGTTCCGTTTGGAATTGATAAAAGCTACCATACTGCCTCTACTTGACTACTGTGACATCGTGTATAAATCAGCCCCAAGTACTGTACTGAAGAAGCTTGATTCCATCTATCACTCGGCCTTAAGATTTGCATTGAACTGCCCATATAGGACTCACCACTGTGATCTCTACATTGGGTCAAAACTTAACATCTCTTAATGTTCAACGGCTTGTGCACCAGATCTTATTTATTCACGATGTACTTACAAATAAAATCCGCAGACTTACCTGCTGCTGGATCTCCTCTCTCTGTTTCAAAGAACAAATTTGACCTCAGGTCTTCGCTCATTTACCAACTTCACATTCCCCTATTGCCGTACAAAAACCGGAGGAAGGGCCTTTGCTATTGATGCCCCCAGGGTCTGGAATGCTATTGCCAATAAACTGCAACGTGAATCGCTACCTATGAGATCTTCACTCAAAACTGCTCTAGAGGAGTTGTTACACCCCTAGCTGCCGCTGCTATTCAATGGCCGAAAATATGGCTCTAGATTTTGGTGTTATAATTTATTTACGTAGTTTATTGTAAAAAAAATTCGGTCACAGTCCCTATGATCACTGTTACATTGCATTTATGGCTTTTATTTTGGTGATTTCGAAAACGTTTTTTTGGTTTGGCCATGTGTGTGTTTATTGTAGTACGGAGTTAGACTGATGGCCTTAATCTTAGTTGTCTTGTGGTTGTTGTGGTTGTTGTTTGACTTTGCATCCCACTGGGATTTTTGCACACAGTGTTGGTGGTTGTACGGTGCTATTTCAGGAATATTTTGATGTTTTTTTCCTGAATTTTCTGTTTTGCACAGTCACACAAAGTCACTTTAAGATGTTGTCTTGTTCGTGTTTTTGGTTTTATGTTTGTTGTGGTTGCACCCGATTCAAGAGCCAAATGGCTCACAGGGCTATACCAACATAAATTGAACTATGGAACGATCATTAAGGACCTTCATGATGGTGAGCGGGCCCGGGTAAAACTACGTGGCCGGGAGTCGGAGCCATTCCCTGTTCACCTTGCGGGGTGCGACAGGGATGTCCTCTGGCTCCCACATTATTTAACATCTATTTTGACCACGTAGTTCGTGAAGCCTTCAGCAGCTGTACCGGGGGAATCTCCATATGGTACAGATATAATGGGAGGCTGATCGATGCCCGGGTGCGGTCAAGGGATGGCTCCCTATTGCTCAACCACGTTATGTATGCTGATGACTTGGTAATAGCTGCTCAGTCAGAGGAAGAGTTAGAGACGCTGCTGCTGAGACTGGAGTGTGCCACTAAGAGGTGGGGCCTTACCATCAGCCCCACCAAAACTAAGCACCTGCCTGGGTATTTTGTACCATCGGACACCCCACCCCCACAACTCCCAATCGGTGATGGGGCAGTTGTGGAGAGAGTGGAGAGTTTCCCATACCTGAGCAGTGTGCTTATGACCGGCTCCAGTTTAACAGCAGAGGTCTCACTCCGAATCAGTCGAGCGGCAATATCTTTTCATCGGTTGCATAGCGCTGTGTGGAAGCTACCTGGTCTGTCGCTCCGCACTAAGCTTCAGGTATTCTCGGCCACGGTCATTCCCTCCCTTCTCTACGCTCGCGAGACGTGGACCCCCCTAATGGAACATCTTTGCCGGTTAGAAACATTTAGGCTGGCCTGCCTACGATCCATCCTGGGTTTAACCAGACTGGATTGTGTGAGGAGCTCACAAATCCTTGAAAGATCTGGGCAGGGTCCCATCGGTGAGCTCCTCCGGCAGGCAAGGCTGCGATGGCTAGGTCATGTAGCCCGCATGCCCAGCCACCGCATGCCGAAACAGCTTTTGTTCGGCCGGATTCAGGGGGCTAAACGGGCGCGGCACGGGCTAGAGAAGAGATGGAGTGATGTGGTACAGGAGGACGTGGAGCTGAGTCGACTTGCCGATGACTGGTACCAGTGGTGTCAAGATCGGCCTCTGTGGAGGAGGCTCGTGAAGGACGCTACTGGGCAGTTGGAGGCAGTCGCCCTCCAGCAACAACGGAGGGCGGAGGAGCGACGCTCACAACAACGAGCGGAGCGCCGGGTGGCTAAAGCACAGCAGGTTGGCACAGTAGGGGGCACAGGTGGTGCATCAGCCAGTCATCTCAGTCAGTCGACCCGTGGCACCTGGGTCTGCCCCGTGACCTCCTGCCAGCGGGCGTTCGACACTTCACGTGGCCTCAAGGTGCACGTAGCCTGGCACAAGCGTCGTGGTGACGTCACCGCCACTTAGTGGCGAATGGCGGTTGTTGTTGTGTGTGTAACTGTGTGTGTATGTAACTGTGTGTGTATGTAACTGTGTGTGTAACTGTGTGTGTAACTGTGTGTGTAACTGTGTCTGTGTGTGTGTAACTGTGTCTGTGTGTGTAACTGTGTGTGTGTGTAACTGTGTAACTATGTCTCTGTGTGTGTGTGTCTCTGTGTGTGTACACTGTGTGTGTAACTGTGTGTGTGTGTCTCTGTGTGTGTGTGTGTCTCTGTGTGTGTGTGTAACTGTGTGTGTGTGTAACTGTGTGTGTGTGTGTCTCTGTGTGTGTGTAACTGTGTGTGTGTGTGTCTCTGTGTGTGTGTAACTGTGTGTGTGTGTGTCTCTGTGTGTGTGCCCCAGGGAGAATTCTGCGTCTGTGCGGGTGTCTCACGACGGCGCCTGCTGAGGCAGCGCCTCTGGAGGTCACCGGTGGGGGTCACCGGCGGGGGTCACCGGTGGGGGTCACCGGCGGGGGTCACCGGCGGGGGTCACCGGTGGGGGTCACCGGTGGGGCACGCGGAGGACGGCGTGGAGACCATCACTCCGTTTCTTACACAACCCGTGCCACATACACACACACATACACTCACTCATACACTCACTCACACATACACTCACTCACCCACTCACCCACCCACCCACTCACTCACCCACCCACCCACTCACCCACCCACCCACTCACCCACTCACTCACTCACCTATCCACTCACTCACCCACTCACCCACCCACCCACCCACTCACCCACCCACTCACCCACCCACCCACCCACTCACCCACCCACCCACCCACTCACCCACTCACCCACCCACCCACCCACTCACCCACTCACTCACTCACCTATCCACTCACTCACCCACTCACCCACCCACCCACTCACCCACCCACCCACCCACTCACCCACCCACCCACCCACTCACCCACTCACTCACTCACCCACCCACCCACTCACCCACCCAGCCACCCACTCACCCACCCACTCACCCACTCACCCACCCACCCACTCACCCACTCACCCACCCACTCACCCACTCACCCACCCACTCACCCACCCACTCACCCACCCACTCACCCACCCACCCACCCACTCACCCACCCACCCACCCACTCACCCACCCACCCACCCACTCACCCACCCACCCACCCACCCACTCACCCACCCACCCACCCACCCACTCACCCACCCACCCACTCACCCACCCACCCACTCACCCACCCGCTCACCCACCCACTCACCCACCCACTCGCTCACCCACCCACTCACTCATCCACTCACTCACTCTGATGTTGCAATAAATTTACTGACGTTGCTGAAGTTGATATCAGAGTCATTAAAGCACTGGAGGGTATAGATGTGCGGCAGTGAACTAAACAAGATGGAGGTTATCGATGTGTGGACTGCGGCAGTGAACTAAACAAGATGGAGGGTATCGATGTGCGGAGCGGCAGTGAACTAAACAAGATGGAGGGTATCGATGTGCGGAGCGGCAGTGAACCAAACAAGATGGAGGGTATCGGTGTGCGTACTGGCGGACAAGATGGAGAGGTATTGGTGTTGGGACTGGCGGGGTGAACTAAACAAGATGGAAGTATCAGTGTGGGTACTGGCGGGGTGAACTAAACAAGATGGAGGTATTGGTGTGGGTACTGGCGCGGTGAACTAAACAAGATGGAAGTATTGGTGTGGGTACTGGCGGGATAAACTAAACAAGATGGAGGTATTGGTGTTGGTACTGGTCGGGTGAACTAAACAAGATGGAGGGTATCGGTGTGGGTACTGGCGAACAAGATGGAGAGGTATTGGTGTTGGGACTGGCGGGGTGAACTAAACAAGATGGAAGTATCAGTGTGGGTACTGGCGGGGTGAACTAAACACGATGGAGAGGTATTGGTGTTGGGACTGTCGGGGTGAACTAAACAAGATGGAAGTATCAGTGTATGTACTAGCGGGGTGAACTAAACACTAAACAAGATGGAGGTGTTGGTACTGGTCGCGTGAACTAAACAAGATGGAAGTATCAGTGTGGGTGCGGGGTGAACTAAACAAGATGGCGGGGGGTTAATAGTGGTGACGGAAGTGACGTTCAACCTTCCTCACCTCTTGGGCTTAACGGTCGGTAGTGACGTCACGGGAAGTGGATTTTTTGGCGGGCGATTGAATATTCGGCTGTGGTGGGAACTGTTGTGGTGGTGGTGGTTGTTGTTGTTGTGGTGGTGGTTGTTGTGGTGGTGGTGTAGTGCTGTGGTGGTAGTTGTAGTGGTTGTTGTGGTGGTGGCAGTGGTGGTGGTGGTGGTGTAGTGGTGTGGTGTAGTAGTGGCGTAGTGGTGGTGGCGTAGTAGTGGTGGCGTAGTAGTAGTGGTGGTGGTGTAGTAATGGTGGTGTAGTAGTGGTGGTGGTTGTAGTAGTGGTGGTGGTGTAGTGGTGTTGTAGTGAACATCGCTAACACTGGGAGAGACAAAGGCGGCCGGGCGTGGTGGTGGTGCTGGCCACCCACCCCCTCTCTGTGTGTAGCCACAGTGCCGGTAGCCTTCATAGACGCTGCTGCTGCTGCTGCTACTCGCTACTAACACAGCACTTGCCCCTACAGCCCTGCTAGAGGCTACCTGGGGGAGCTTTGTCTGTGTCTCAGCACTTGCCCCTACAGCCCTGCTAGAGGCTACCTGGGGGAGCTTTGTCTGTGTCTCAGCACTTGCCCCTACAGCCCTGCTAGAGGCTACCTGGGGGAGCTTTGTCTGTGTCTCAGCACTTGCCCCTACAGCCCTGCTAGAGGCTACCTGGGGGAGCTTTGTCTGTGTCTCAGCACTTGCCCCTACAGCCCTGCTAGAGGCTACCTGGGGGAGCTTTGTCTGTGTCTCAGCACTTGCCCCTACAGCCCTGCTAGAGGCTACCTGGGGGAGCTTTGTCTGTGTCTCAGCACTTGCCCCTACAGCCCTGCTAGAGGCTACCTGGGGGAGCTTTGTCTGTGTCTCAGCACTTGCCCCTACAGCCCTGCTAGAGGCTACCTGGGGGAGCTTTGTCTGTGTCTCAGCACTTGCCCCTACAGCCCTGCTAGAGGCTACCTGGGGGAGCTTTGTCTGTGTCTCAGCACTTGCCCCTACAGCCCTGCTAGAGGCTACCTGGGGGAGCGTGAGTATTGAGTGGTGAGTAGTCGTGGTGGTGAGTGAGTGGGTGAGTGAGTGGTGAGTAGTGGTGCTGAGTGAGTGAGTAGTGGTGAGTAGTGCTGAGTGAGTGGTGAGTGAGTGGTAGTAGTGGTGAGTAGTGGTGAATGAGTGAGTAGTAGTGGTGAGTAGTGAGTGAGTGAGTGGTGAGTGAGTAGTGGTGAGTGAGTGGTGAGTAGTAGTGGTGAGTAGTAGTGGTGAGTGCTGAGTGAGTAGTGAGTGTGGTGAGTGTAGTGGTGAGGAGTGGTGAGTGAGTGTAGTGGTGAGTAGTGGTGAGTGGTGGTGAGTAGTGGTAGTAGTGGTGAGTGAGTGTAGTGGTGAGTGGTGGTGAGTAGTAGTGAGTAGTGGTGAGTGGTGGTGAGTAGTGGTGAGTGAGTAGTGAGTGGTAGTGGTGGTGAGTGAGTAGTGAGTGTAGTGGTGAGTAGTAGTGGTGAGTAGTGAGTGGTAGTAGTGGTGAGTAGTGGTGAGTGAGTGTAGTGGTGAGTGTTAGTGAGTAGTGGTGAGTGAGTGTAGTGGTGAGTAGTGGTGAGTGGTGGTGAGTAAGTAGTAGTGAGTAGTGGTGAGTGAGTAGTGAGTGAGTGTAGTGGTGAGTAGTGGTGAGTGAGTGTAGTGGTGAGTAGTAGTGAGTAGTGGTGAGTGAGTGTAGTGGTGAGTAGTGAGTGTAGTGGTGAGTAGTGGTGAGTAGTGAGTGTAGTAGTGGTGAGTAGTGAGTGTAGTGGTGAGTGTAGTGGTGAGTAGTGAGTAGTATTGAGTGAGTGTAGTGGTGAGTAGTAGTGAGTGAGTGTAGTGGTGAGTGAGTGTAGTGGTGAGTGGTGGTGAGTAGTGGTGAGTGTAGTGGTGAGTAGTGGTGAGTAGTAGTGAGTAGTGGTGAGTGAGTGTAGTGGTGAGTGTAGTAGTGAGTAGTGGTGAGTGAGTGTAGTGGTGAGTAGTAGTGAGTAGTGGTGAGTGAGTGTAGTGGTGAGTAGTGAGTGAGTGTAGTGGTGGTGAGTAGTGAGTGGTGAGTAGTGGTGAGTAGTGGTGAGTGAGTAGTGAGTGTAGTGGTGAGTGGTGGTGAGTGTAGTGGTGAGTAGTAGTGAGGAGTGGTGAGTGAGTGTAGTGGTGAGTGTAGTAGTGAGTAGTGCTGAGTGAGTGTAGTGGTGAGTAGTAGTGAGTAGTGGTGAGTAGTGAGTGAGTGTAGTGGTGGTGAGTAGTGGTGAGTGAGTGTAGTGGTGAGTAGTGAGTGAGTGTAGTGGTGGTGAGTAGTGAGTGGTGGTGAGTGTGAATGATGGTGAGGCTCAGTGCGCTTGAGATGGAGATTCGGCGCGGAACCACGCGGAGGAGCCACGTGGAGGCGCTGCTGAGAGCCAACGTGAGTACAGTAGTACAGTACAGTAGTACAGTACAACAGCACAGTAATACAGTGCAGCAGTACAGTAGCACAGTTCAGCAGTGCAGTAGCACAGTACAGTAGTGCAGTACAGTAGTGCAGTGGTACAGTAGTGCAGTGCGGCAGTACAGTAGCACAGTAGAAGAGTACAGTAGCACGGTAGAAGAGTACAGTAGAATAGTGCCGTGGTACAGTACAGCCGTGCAGTAGCACAGTACAGTGATACAGTGCGGTAATACAGTACAATATAGTGCAGTAGCACAGTGCGGTAGCTTAGTACAGTAATACCGTGGCATAGCACAGTAACGTAGTACAGTAGTACAGTAGCGTTGTACAGTAGCATAGTGCAGTAATATGTAGCACATTACAGTAACACAGTACAGTAGCCTAGTGCGGTAGTGCAATACAGTAGTGTAGTGCAGTAACACAGCATAGTAGTACAGTGGCACAGTAGTACAGTAGCATAGCGCGTTAGCATAGTAATACAGTAGTGCATACAGTAACGCAGTACAGGAGCGCAACACAGTGTCACAACAGTAGTACAGTGGCACAGTACAGTAGTATATTGCGGTCATACAGTAGCACGGTACAGTAGTACAGTGTATCGCCGTATTACAGTAGCGTGGTACAGTAATGCAGTGGTACAGTAGCGCCGTACAGTAATACATTGCAGTAACAGTGTAGTAGCCTAGTACAGTAGCACAGTGCGGTAGTACAGTACAGTAGTGTAGTGCAGTGACACAGTACAGCAACACAGTACAGTGGCACAGTAGCACAGTACGGTAATACAGTACGGTAGTGCAGTACGGCAGTGCGGTACAGTAGTGCGGCTGTACAGTAGGGTAGTGCAGTACAGTTATACAGTACCAACAGTATATCACAGTGCACTGTCTCCCCATCTCCCCAGGGTGGTGTTGTTGGTGGTGATGGTGGTGATGTTGTTGGTGGTGATGGTGATGGTGGTGTTGGTGGTGATGGTGGTGGTGGTGATGGTGGTGGTGATGGTGATGATGATGGTGGTGATGGTGGTGGTGATGGTTGTGATGGTGGTGATGATGGTGGTGATGGTGGTGGTGGTGGTGATGGTGGTGGTGATGGTGGTGATGGTGGTGGTGATGGTGGTGGTGTTGGTGGTGTTGTTGGAGTTGTTGGTGTCTCTGTGCGTGTGGCTGAGCTCACCCATCTCCCCCTCCACAGGGTGTTGGTGGTGGTGGTGTTGGTGGTGTTGGAGTTGGTGGTGTTGGTGTTGATGGTGTTGGTGGTGGTGGTGTTGGTGGTGTTGGTGTCTCTGTGCATGTGGCTGAGCTCACCCATCTCCCCCTCCACAGGGCGGTGTTGGTGTTGGTGGTGTTGGTGGTGTCGGTGTTGATGGTGTTGGTGGTGGTGGTGTTGGTGGTGTTGGTGTCTCTGTGCGTGTGGCTGAGCTCACCCATCTCCCCCTCCACAGGGTGTTGGTGTTGGTGGTGGTGGAGTTGTTGGTGTTGGTGGTGTTGGTGTTGGAGTTGGTGTTGGTGTTGTTGGTGTCTCTGTGCGTGTGGCTGAGCTCACCTATCTCCCCCTCCACAGGGTGTTGGTGTTGGTGGTGTTGGTGTTGGTGGAGTTGGTGGTGGTGGAGTTGGTGGTGGTGGAGTTGGTGGTGGTGTTGGTGTTGTTGGTGTCTCTGTGCGTGTGGCTGAGCTCGCCCATCTCCCCCTCCACAGGGTGGTGGTGTTGGTGTTGTTGGTGGTGTTGGTGGTGGTGGTGTTGGTGGTGGTGTTGGTGTTGTTGGTGTTGGTGGTGTCTCTGTGCGTGTGGCTGAGCTCACCCATCTCCCCCTCCACAGGGTGTTGGTGGTGTTGTTGGTGTTGGTGGTGGTGTTGGTGTTGTTGGTGGTGGTGTTGGTGTTGTTGGTGTTGGTGGTGTCTCTGTGCGTGTGGCTGAGCTCGCCCATCTCCCCCTCCACAGGGCGGTGGTGGTGTTGGAGTTGGTGTTGGTGGTGGTGTTGGTGGTGTTGTTGGTGGTGGTGTTGGTGTTGTTGGTGTCTCTGTGCGTGTGGCTGAGCTCGCCGCTGGCCTCGCTGGCGGCGCCTCGCGGCTGCTGCCGCCGCTCCTCGCCGCAGGACGCCCGGCACAGGCGGCGGCGGCGGCGGGCGTTGCCCTAGGGGCACTGGAGAGGGGCCGAGGTGCCCTCAGGGCACTGCAGCGATACAGGGAGGGTAGGGCGAGGGGTGAGGGTGAAGGGTGAGACACTCACCAACACACTCACCAACACACTCACCAACACACTCACCAACACACCAACACACCAACACACTCACCACCAACACACTCACCACGGGCCTCGCCCTAGGGGCACTGGAGAGGGGCCGAGGTGCCCTCAGGGCACTGCAGCGATACAGGGAGGGTAGGGCGAGGGGTGAGGGTGAAGGGTGAGACACTCACCAACACAATCACCAACACACTCACACACTCACCAACACACCAACACACTCACCACCAACACACTCACCAACACACTCACCAACACACTCACCACCATCACACTCACCACCAACACACTCACCACCAACAAACTCACCAACTCACCAACACACCAACACACTCACCAACACACTCACCACCAACACACTCACCACCAACACACTCACCACCAACACACTCACCAACACACCAACACACTCACCACCAACACACTCACCACCAACACACTCACCAACACACCAACACACTCACCAACACACTCACCACCAACACACTCACCACCAACACACTCACCACCAACACACTCACCAACACACCAACACACTCACCACCAACACACTCACCACCAACACACTCACCAACACACCAACACACTCACCAACACACTCACCACCAACACACTCACCACCAACACACTCACCACCAACACACTCACCAACACACCAACACACTCACCACCAACACACTCACCACGGGCCTCGCCCTAGGGGCACTGGAGAGGGGCCGAGGTGCCCTCAGGGCACTGCAGCGATACAGGGAGGGTAGGGCGAGGGGTGAGGGTGAAGGGTGAGACACTCACCACACACTCACCAACACACCAACACACTCACCAACACACTCACCAACACACCATCACACTCACCACCAACACACTCACCAACACACTCACCAACACACCAACACACTCACCACCAACACACCAACACACTCACCAACACACTCACCACGGGCCTCGCCCTAGGGGCACTGGAGAGGGGCCGAGGTGCCCTCAGGGCACTGCAGCGATACAGGGAGGGTAGGGCGAGGGGTGAGGGTGAGGGGTGAGACACTCACCACACACTCACCAACACACTCACCACACACTCACCAACACACTCACACACTCACCACACACTCACCAACACACCAACACACTCACCAACACACTCACCAACACACTCACCAACACACTCACCACCAACACACTCACCACCAACACACTCACCAACACACTCACACACTCACCAACACACTCACCAACACACCAACACACTCACCAACACACCAACACACTCACCAACACACCAACACACTCACCAACACACTCACCACCAACACACTCACCAACACACTCACCAACACACTCACCACCAACACACTCACCACCAACACACTCACCAACACACTCACTCACCAACACACTCACCACCATCACACTCACCACCAACACACTCACCACCAACAAACTCACCAACTCACCAACACACCAACACACTCACCAACACACTCACCACCAACACACTCACCACCAACACACTCACCACCAACACACTCACCAACACACCAACACACTCACCACCAACACACTCACCACCAACACACTCACCAACACACCAACACACTCACCAACACACTCACCACCAACACACTCACCACCAACACACTCACCACCAACACACTCACCAACACACCAACACACTCACCACCAACACACTCACCACCAACACACTCACCAACACACCAACACACTCACCAACACACTCACCACCAACACACTCACCACCAACACACTCACCACCAACACACTCACCAACACACCAACACACTCACCACCCACACACTCACCACCAACACACTCACCAACACACCAACACACTCACCAACACACTCACCACCAACACACTCACCACCAACACACTCACCACCAACACACTCACCAACACACCAACACACTCACCACCAACACACTCACCACGGGCCTCGCCCTAGGGGCACTGGAGAGGGGCCGAGGTGCCCTCAGGGCACTGCAGCGATACAGGGAGGGTAGGGCGAGGGGTGAGGGTGAAGGGTGAGACACTCACCACACACTCACCAACACACCAACACACCAACACACTCACCAACACACTCACCAACACACTCACCACCAACACACCACCAACACACTCACCACCAACACACTCACCACGATCACACCAACACACTCACCACCAACACACTCACCACCATCACACTCACCACCAACACACTCACAAAACACACTCACCACCAACACACTCACCACCATCACACTCACCACCAACACACTCACCAACACACTCACCACCATCACACTCACCAATACACTCACCACCATCACACTCACCACCAACACACTCACCAACACACTCACCACCATCACACTCACCAATACACTCACCACCATCACACTCACTCACCAACACACTCACCAACACACTCACAACCACTCACCACCATCACACACTCACCACCACTCACCACCATGACACACTCACCAACACACTCACCACCAACACACTCACCACCAACACACTCACCAACACACTCACCACCAACACACTCACCACCATCACACTCACCACCAACACACTCACCAACACACTCACCACCATCACACTCACCAATACACTCACCACCATCACACTCACTCACCAACACACTCACCAACACACTCACCACCACTCACCACCATCACACACTCACCACCACTCACCACCATGACACACTCACCAACACACTCACCACCAACACACTCACCACCAACACACTCACCAACACACTCACCACCAACACACTCACCACCAACACACTCACCAACACACTCACCACCAACACACTCACCACCATCACACTCACCACCAACACACTCACCAACACACTCACCAGCATCACACTCACCAATACACTCACTCACCAACACACTCACCAACACACTCACCACCACTCACCACCATCACACACTCACCACCACTCACCACCATGACACACCAACACACTCACCAACACACTCACCATCACACACTCACCACCACTCACCACCACTCACCACCATCACACTCACCAACACACTCACCACCATCACACACTCACCACCAACACACTCACCACCATCACACTCACCAACACACTCACCAACACACTCACCACCAACACACTCACCACCATCACACTCACCACCATCACACACTCACCACCAACACACTCACCAACACTCACCACCAACACACTCACCACCAGCACACTCACCAACACACTCACCACCATCACACACTCACCACCAACACACTCACCACCATCACACACTCACCAACACACTCACCAACACACCAACACACTCACCACCATCACACTCACCACTATCACACACTCACCACCAACACACTCACCATCAACACACTCACCACCAACACACTCACCACCAACACACTCACCACCACTCACCACCACTCACCACCATCACACTCAGCACCACTCACCATCACCACCATCACACACTCACCACCAAGACACTCACCAACACACCAACACACCAACACACTCACCATCACACCAACACACTCACCACCAACAAACTCACCAACTCACCAACACACCAACACACTCACCAACACACTCACCACCAACACACACACCAACACACTCACCACCAACACACTCACCACGGGCCTCGCCCTAGGGGCACTGGAGAGGGGCCGAGGTGCCCTCAGGGCACTGCAGCGATACAGGGAGGATAGGGCGAGGGGTGAGGGTGAAGGGTGAGACACTCACCACACACTCACCAACACACCACCAACACACTCACCAACACACCAACACACTCACCAACACACTCACCACCAACACACTCACCAACACACTCACTAACACACTCACCAACACTCACCAACACACTCACCACCAACACACCAACACACTCACCATCACACTCACCAACACACTCACCAACACTCACCAACACACCAACACACTCACCAACACACCAACACACTCACCACCACACACTCACCAACACACTCACCACCAACACACTCACCAACACACTCACCAAGACACTCACCAACACACTCACCAACACACTCACCAACACACTCACCAACACACCAACACACTCACCAACACACCAAGACACTCACCAACACACTCACCACCACACACTCACCAACACACTCACCAACACACTCACCAAGACACTCACCAACACACTCACCAAGACACTCACCAACACACTCACCAACACACTCACCAACACACACTCACCAACACACCAACACACTCACCACCATCACACACTCACCACCAACACACTCACCACCACTCACCAACACACTCACCACCACCAGCACACACTCACCACCACACTCACCATCACACACTCACCACCATCACACATTCACCACCACTACACTCACCAACACACTCACCACCATCACACACTCACCAACACACTCACCACCATCACACACTCACCACCAACACACTCACCAACACACTCACCACCATCACACACCACCAACACACTCACCACCACTCACCATCACACTCACTCACCACCAACACACTCACCACCATCACACACTCACCACCATCACACACTCACCACCAACACACTCACCACCAACACACTCACCATCACACTCACCACCAACACACTCACCATCACACTCACCACCAACACACTCACCATCACACTCACCACCAACACACTCACCATCACACTCACCACCACACTCACCAACACACCACCAACACACTCACCATCACACTCACCACCAACACACTCACCATCACACTCACCACCACACTCACCAACACACTCACCACCATCACACACTCACCAACACACTCACCACCACTCACCATGAACACACTCACCACCACTACACTCACCAACACACTCACCACCATCACACACTCACCAACACACTCACCAGACACTCACCATCACCACTCACCACCAACACACTCACCACACACCATCACACACTCACCATCACCACTCACCACCAACACACTCACCACCACACTCACCACCAACACACTCACCACCAACACACTCACCATCACACTCACCACCAACACACTCACCATCACACTCACCACCACACTCACCAACACACTCACGAACACACTCACCACCACTCACCATGAACACACTCACCACCACTACACTCACCAACACACTCACCACCATCACACACTCACCAACACACTCACCAGACACTCACCATCACCACTCACCACCAACACACTCACCACACACCATCACACACTCACCATCACCACTCACCACCACACTCACCACCAACACACTCACCATCACACTCACCACCAACACACTCACCATCACACTCACCACCACACTCACCAACACACTCACGAACACACTCACCACCACTCACCATGAACACACTCACCACCACTACACTCACCAACACACTCACCACCATCACACACTCACCAACACACTCACCACCATCACACACTCACCACCAACACACTCACCAACACACTCACCACCATCACACACCACCAACACACTCACCACCACTCACCATCACACTCACTCACCACCAACACACTCACCACCATCACACACTCACCACCATCACACACTCACCACCAACACACTCACCAACACACTCACCACCACCAGCACACACTCACCACCACACTCACCATCACACACTCACCACCATCACACATTCACCACCACTACACTCACCAACACACTCACCACCATCACACACTCACCAACACACTCACCACCAACACACTCACCACCACTCACCAGCACATTCACCACCATCACACACTCACCATCAACACACTCACCAACACACTCACCACCACACTCACCACCAACACACTCACCACCAACACACTCCCCATCACACTCACCACCAACACACTCACCACCAACACACTCACCACCAACACACTCACCATCACACTCACCACCAACACACTCACCATCACACTCACCACCAACACACTCACCATCACACTCACCACCAACACACTCACCATCACACTCACCACCACACTCACCAACACACTCACCACCATCACACTCACCACCACACTCACCAACACACTCACCACCAACACACTCACCATCACACTCACCACCAACACACTCACCATCACACTCACCACCACACTCACCAACACACTCACCACCATCACACACTCACCAACACACTCACCACCACTCACCATGAACACACTCACCACCACTACACTCACCAACACACTCACCACCATCACACACTCACCAACACACTCACCAGACACTCACCATCACCACTCACCACCAACACACTCACCACACACCATCACACACTCACCATCACCACTCACCACCAACACACTCACCACCACACTCACCACCAACACACTCACCACCAACACACTCACCATCACACTCACCACCAACACACTCACCATCACACTCACCACCACACTCACCAACACACTCACGAACACACTCACCACCACTCACCATGAACACACTCACCACCACTACACTCACCAACACACTCACCACCATCACACACTCACCAACACACTCACCAGACACTCACCATCACCACTCACCACCAACACACTCACCACACACCATCACACACTCACCATCACCACTCACCACCACACTCACCACCAACACACTCACCATCACACTCACCACCAACACACTCACCATCACACTCACCACCACACTCACCAACACACTCACGAACACACTCACCACCACTCACCATGAACACACTCACCACCACTACACTCACCAACACACTCACCACCATCACACACTCACCAACACACTCACCAACACACTCACCACCATCACACACCACCAACACACTCACCACCACTCACCATCACACTCACTCACCACCAACACACTCACCACCATCACACACTCACCACCATCACACACTCACCACCAACACACTCACCAACACACTCACCACCACCAGCACACACTCACCACCACACTCACCATCACACACTCACCACCATCACACATTCACCACCACTACACTCACCAACACACTCACCACCATCACACACTCACCAACACACTCACCACCAACACACTCACCACCACTCACCAGCACATTCACCACCATCACACACTCACCATCAACACACTCACCAACACACTCACCACCACACTCACCACCAACACACTCACCACCAACACACTCACCATCACACTCACCACCAACACACTCACCACCAACACACTCACCACCAACACACTCACCATCACACTCACCACCAACACACTCACCATCACACTCACCACCAACACACTCACCATCACACTCACCACCAACACACTCACCATCACACTCACCACCACACTCACCAACACACTCACCACCAACACACTCACCATCACACTCACCACCAACACACTCACCATCACACTCACCACCACACTCACCAACACACTCACCACCATCACACACTCACCAACACACTCACCACCACTCACCATGAACACACTCACCACCACTACACTCACCAACACACTCACCACCATCACACACTCACCAACACACTCACCAGACACTCACCATCACCACTCACCACCAACACACTCACCACACACCATCACACACTCACCATCACCACTCACCACCAACACACTCACCACCACACTCACCACCAACACACTCACCACCAACACACTCACCAACACACTCACCATCACACTCACCACCACACTCACCAACACACTCACGAACACACTCACCACCACTCACCATGAACACACTCACCACCACTACACTCACCAACACACTCACCACCATCACACACTCACCAACACACTCACCAGACACTCACCATCACCACTCACCACCAACACACTCACCACACACCATCACACACTCACCATCACCACTCACCACCACACTCACCACCAACACACTCACCATCACACTCACCACCAACACACTCACCATCACACTCACCACCACACTCACCAACACACTCACGAACACACTCACCACCACTCACCATGAACACACTCACCACCACTACACTCACCAACACACTCACCACCATCACACACTCACCATCACCACTCACCACCAACACACTCACTACCACCGCGCAGAGGCTCATGGGCTCATCATGTCTTCTCGTGTCTCTCCGTGTGTCTCTGTGTCTGTCTGTGTCTCCGTGTGTCTCTGTCTGTGTCTCTGTGTGTGTGTCTTTGTGTGTGTGTCTCTGTGTGTGTGTCTGTGTGCCTCTGTGTGTGTCTCTGTGTGTGTGTCTCTGTGTGTCTCTGTGTGTGTCTCTGTGTGTGTCTCTGTGTGTGTGTCTCTGTGTGTCTCTGTGTGTGTGTCTCTGTGTGTGTCTCTGTGTGTCTCTGTGTGTGTCTCTGTGTGTGTCTCTCTGTGTGTGTCTCTGTGTGTCTCTGTGTGTGTGTCTCTGTGTGTGTCTCTGTGTGTCTCTGTGTGTGTCTCTGTGTGTGTGTCTCTGTGTGTCTGTGTGTGTGTGTGTCTCTGTGTCTCTCTGTGTGTGTGTCTCTGTGTGTCTCTGTGTGTGTGTCTCTGTGTGTGTCACTGTGTGTGTGTCTCTGTGTCTGTGTGTGTCTCTGTGTGTGTGTCTCTGTGTCTGTGTGTGTCACTGTGTGCGTGTCTCTGTGTCTGTGTGTGTCTCTGTGTGTGTGTCTCTGTGTGTGTCTCTGTGTCTGTGTGTGTGTCACTGTGTGTGTGTCTCTGTGTGTGTGTGTCTCTCTCTGTGTGTCTCAGACTCGCCGAGTCTCAGGAACTGGGACCGGTCTGCACAGCCTCCCTCTCTGTGTCCGGTGAGAACAGCCCCTAGCCCCTCCCCCCTCTCCCCAGCCCCTCCCCCTAGCCCCTCCCCCCTCTCCCCAGCCCCTCCCCCTAGCCCCTCCCCCCTCTCCCCAGCCCCTCCCCCTAGCCCCTCCCCTAGCCCCTCCCCCTAGCCCCTCTCCCTAGCCCCTCCCCCTAGCCCCTCCCCTCTCTCCATAGCCCCTCCCCCTAGCCCCTCCCCCTAGCTCTTCTGCCCCCTCTCCCTAGGCCCTAGCCCCTCCCCCCTCTCCTTAGCCCCTCCCCCTAGTTCTTCCCCTAACCCTTCCCCCTAGCCCCTCCCCCTAGCCCCTCCCCCTAGCTCTTCCCCTAGCCCCCTAGCCCCTCTTTCTAGCCCCTCCTCTAGCCCCTAGCCCTTCCCCTAGCCCCTCCCCCTAGCCCCTCTCCTTAGCCCCTCCCCCTAGCCCCTCCCCCTAGCCCCCTCCTCCCCCTAGCCCCTCCCCCTAATCCCCCTAGCCCCCCCCCGAGCCCCCATCCCCCAATCTTCTCCCCCTAGCCCCTCCCACTAGCCCCTCATCTTAGTTCCTCCCCTTAGCCCCTCCCCTCAGCCCATTCCTCTCAGCACTTGCCCCTACAGCCTTGCCAGAGGCTACCTGGGGGAGCTTTGTCTCTGTCTCAGCACTTGCCCCTAGAGCCCTGCTAGAGGCTACCTGGGGGAGCTTTGTCTGTGTCTCAGCACTTGCCCCTAGAGCCCTGCTAGAGGCTACCTGGGGGAGCTTTGCCTGTGTCTCAGCACTTGCCCCTAGAGCCCTGCTAGAGGCTACCTGGGGGAGCTTTGTCTGTGTCTCAGCACTTGCCCCTACAGCCCTGCTAGAGGCTACCTGGGGGACCTTTGTCTGTGTCTCAGCACTTGCCCCTACAGCCCTGCTAGAGGCTACCTGGGGGAGCTTTGTCTGCGTCTCAGCACTTGCCCCTACAGCCCTGCTAGAGGCTACCTGGGGGAGCTTTGTCTGTGTCTCAGCACTTGCCCCTACAGCCCTGCTAGAGGCTACCTGGGGGAGCTTTGTCTGTGTCTCAGCACTTGCCCCTGCAGCCCTGCTAGAGGCTACCTGGGGGAGCTTTGTCTGTGTCTCAGCACTTGCCCCTACAGCCCTGCTAGAGGCTACCTGGGGGGGCTTTGTCTGTGTCTTAGCACTTGCCCCTACAGCCCTGCTAGAGGCTACCTGGGGGACTTTTGTCTGTGTCTTTGTAACAGAGATCTCCCTGCGTCTATCTTGGAGAGAAGATGCAGTACAAAACCACAGTGAGACACTCACCACTCACCACTACACTCACCACCACTACACTCACTACTACACTCACCACCACTACACTCACCACTACACTCACCACTACACTCACCACCACTACACTCACCACTACACTCACCACTACACTCACCACCACTACACTCACCACTACACTCACCACTACACTCACCACTACACTCACCACCACTACACTCACCACTACACTCACTCACCACTACACTCACCACTACACTCACCACCACTACACTCACCACTACACTCACCACCACTACACTCACCACCACTACACTCACCACTACACTCACCACCACTACACTCACCACTACACTCACCACCACTACACTCACCACTACACTCACCACCACTACACTCACCACTACACTCACCACCACTACACTCACCACTACACTCACCACTACACTAACCACCACTACACTCACCACTACACTCACCACTACTACACTCACCACTACACTCACCACCACTACACTCACCACTACACTCACCACTACACTCACCACCACTACACTCACCACTACACTCACCACTACACTCACCACCACTACACTCACCACTACACTCACCACTACACTCACCACTACACTCACCACCACTACACTCACCACTACACTCACTCACCACTACACTCACCACTACACTCACCACTACACTCACCACCACTACACTCACCACTACACTCACCACCACTACACTCACCACCACTACACTCACCACTACACTCACCACCACTACACTCACCACTACACTCACCACCACTACACTCACCACTACACTCACCACCACTACACTCACCACTACACTCACCACCACTACACTCACCACTACACTAACCACCACTACACTCACCACTACACTCACCACTACTACACTCACCACTACACTCACCACTACTACACTCACCACTACACTCACCACTACACTCACCACCACTACACTCACCACCACTACACTCACCACTACTACACTCACCACTACACTCACCACTACTACACTCACCACTACACTCACCACTACTACACTCACCACTACACTCACCACTACACTCACCACTACTACACTCACCACTACACTCACCACCACTACACTCACCAATACACTCACCACTACTACACTCACCACTACACTCACCACTACACTCACCACCACTACACTCACCACTACACTCACCACTACACTCACCACCACTACACTCACCACTACACTCACCACCACTACACTCACCACTACACTCACCACTACACTCACCACTACTACACTCACCACTACACTCACCACTACTACACTCACCACTACACTCACCACTACACTCACCACTACTACACTCACCACTACACTCACCACCACTACACTCACCAATACACTCACCACTACTACACTCACCACTACACTCACCACCACTACACTCACCACTACACTCACCACCACACTCACCACTACACTCACCACTACACTCACCACCACCACACTCACCACTACACTCACCACCACTACACTCACCACTACACTCACCACCACTACACTCACCACTACACTCACCACTACACTCACCACCACACTCACCACCACACTCACCACCACTACACTCACCACTACACTCACCACCACACTCACCACTACACTCACCACCACACTCACCACCACACTCACCACTACACTCACCACCACTACACTCACCACTACACTCACCACTACTACACTCACCACTACTACACTCACCACTACACTCACCACCACTACACTCACCACTACACTCACCACCACACTCACCACTACACTCACCACTACTACACTCACCACTACACTCACCACTACTACACTCACCACCACACTCACCACTACACTCACCACCACCACACTCACCACCACCACACTCACCACTACACTCACCACCACACTCACCACCACACTCACCACTACACTCACCACTACACTCACTATTCACTCGTGTAGGTGTTGCAGTGGTTGCGTTGCTCAGGCTGGGAGCCCAAGTGCTGGACACGGAGGCTGAGATCACGACCGTGGGAACTCGCTCCCTCTCACTCAGCACGCCACTCAACTTGTGAGAGACTCACTCACCTACTCACCTACTCACTCACCTACTCACTCACCTACTCACCTACTCACTCACCTACTCACCTACTCACCTACTCACTCACCTACTCACTCACCTACTCACCTACTCACTCACCTACTCACTCACCTACTCACTCACCTACTCACTCACCTACTCACTCACCTACTCACTCACCTACTCACCTACTCACCTACTCACCTACTCACTCACCTACTCACCTACTCACTCACCTACTCACCTACTCACTCACCTACTCACCTACTCACTCACCTACTCACCTACTCACTCACCTACTCACCTACTCACTCACCTACTCACTCACCTACTCACCTACTCACCTACTCACCTACTCACTCACCTACTCACCTACTCACTCACCTACTCACCTACTCACTCACCTACTCACCTACTCACTCACCTACTCACCTACTCACTCACCTACTCACTCACCTACTCACTCACCATATCACTCACCTACTCACCTACTCACTCACCCACCTACTCACCTACTCACTCACCATATCACTCACCTACTCACCTACTCACTCACCCACCTACTCACCTACTCACTCACCTACTCACTCACCTACTCACCTACTCACTCACCTACTCACCTACTCACTCACCTACTCACCTACTCACTCACCTACTCACCTACTCACTCACCCACCTACTCACCTACTCACCTACTCACTCACCTACTCACTCACCATTACACTCACCTACTCACCTACTCACTCACCTACTCACTCAACATATCACTCACCTACTCACCTACTCACTCACCTACTCACCTACTCACTCACCTACTCACCTACTCACTCACCATGTCACTCACCTACTCACTCACCTACTCACTCACCTACTCACCTACTCACCTACTCACCTACTCACTCACCTACTCACCTACTCACTCACCTACTCACCTACTCACTCACCTACTCACCTACTCACTCACCTACTCACCTACTCACTCACCTACTCACTCACCATATCACTCACCTACTCACCTACTCACTCACCCACCTACTCACCTACTCACTCACCATATCACTCACCTACTCACCTACTCACTCACCCACCTACTCACCTACTCACTCACCTACTCACTCACCTACTCACCTACTCACTCACCTACTCACCTACTCACTCACCTACTCACCTACTCACTCACCTACTCACCTACTCACTCACCCACCTACTCACCTACTCACCTACTCACTCACCTACTCACTCACCATTACACTCACCTACTCACCTACTCACTCACCTACTCACTCAACATATCACTCACCTACTCACCTACTCACTCACCTACTCACCTACTCACTCACCTACTCACCTACTCACTCACCATGTCACTCACCTACTCACTCACCTACTCAATCACCTACTCACCTACTCACCTACTCACCTACTCACTCACCTACTCACCTACTCACTCACCTACTCACCTACTCACTCACCTACTCACCTACTCACTCACCTACTCACTCACCATATCACTCACCTACTCACCTACTCACTCACCCACCTACTCACTCACCATATCACTCACCTACTCACCTACTCACTCACCCACCTACTCACCTACTCACTCACCTACTCACTCACCTACTCACCTACTCGCTCACCTACTCACCTACTCACTCACCTACTCACCTACTCACTCACCTACTCACCTACTCACTCACCCACCTACTCACCTACTCACCTACTCACTCACCTACTCACTCACCATTACACTCACCTACTCACCTACTCACTCACCTACTCACTCAACATATCACTCACCTACTCACCTACTCACTCACCTACTCACCTACTCACTCACCTACTCACCTACTCACTCACCATGTCACTCACCTACTCACTCACCTACTCACTCACCTACTCACCTACTCACCTACTCACCTACTCACTCACCTACTCACCTACTCACTCACCTACTCACCTACTCACTCACCTACTCACCTACTCACTCACCTACTCACCTACTCACTCACCTACTCACTCACCTACTCACTCACCATATCACTCACCTACTCACCTACTCACTCACCCACCTACTCACCTACTCACTCACCATATCACTCACCTACTCACCTACTCACTCACCCACCTACTCACCTACTCACTCACCTACTCACTCACCTACTCACTCACCTACTCACCTACTCACTCACCTACTCACCTACTCACTTACCTACTCACCTACTCACTCACCTACTCACCTACTCACTCACCCACCTACTCACCTACTCACCTACTCACTCACCTACTCACTCACCATTACACTCACCTACTCACCTACTCACTCACCTACTCACTCAACATATCACTCACCTACTCACCTACTCACTCACCTACTCACCTACTCACTCACCTACTCACTCACCTACTCACCTACTCACTCACCTACTCACTCACCATCTCACCTACTCACTCACCTACTCACTCACCTACTCACTCACCTACTCGCCACTACACTCACCTACTCACCTACTCACCTACTCACTCACCTACTCACCTACTCACTCACCTACTCACTCACCTACTCACCTACTCACCTACTCACTCACCTACTCACCTACTCACCGACTCACTCACCTACTCACCTACTCACTCACCTACTCACCTACTCACTCACCTACTCACCTACTCACCTACTCACTCACTCACCTACTCACCTACTCACTCACCATCTCACTCACCTACTCACTCACTCACCTACTCACTCACCTACTCACTCACCATCTCACTCACCTACTCACTCACCTACTCACCTACTCACTCACCTACTCACCTACTCACCTACTCAATCACCTACTCACTCACCTACTCACCTACTCACTCACCTACTCACCTACTCACCTACTCACTCACCTACTCACCTACTCACTCACCTACTCACTCACCTACTCACCTACTCACTCACCTACTCACCTACTCACTCACCTACTCACTCACCTACTCACTCACTCACCTACTCACTCACTCACCTACTCACTCACCATATCACTCACCTACTCACCTACTCACTCACCATATCACTCACCTACTCACCTACTCACTCACCTACTCACCTACTCACCTACTCACTCACCTACTCACCTACTCACTCACCTACTCACCTACTCACTCACCTACTCACTCACCATCTCACTCACCTACTCACTCACCTACTCACCTACTCACTCACCTACTCACTCACCTACTCACTCACCTACTCTCCTACTCGCCACTACACTCACCTACTCACCTACTCACACACCTACTCACCTACTCACTCACCTACTCACCTACTCACCTACTCACTCACCTACTCACCGACTCACTCACCTACTCACCTACTCACTCACCTACTCACCTACTCACTCACCTACTCACCTACTCACCTACTCACTCACTCACCTACTCACTCACCATCTCACTCACCTACTCACTCACTCACCTACTCACTCACCTACTCACTCACCATCTCACTCACCTACTCACTCACCTACTCACCTACTCACTCACCTACTCACCTACTCACTCACCTACTCACTCACCTACTCACCTACTCACTCACCTACTCACCTACTCACCTACTCACTCACCTACTCACTCACTCACCTACTCACCTACTCACTCACCTACTCACCGACTCACTCACCTACTCACCTACTCACTCACCTACTCACTCACCTACTCACCTACTCACCTACTCACTCACTCACCTACTCACCTACTCACCTACTCACTCACCATCTCACTCACCTACTCACTCACTCACCTACTCACTCACCTACTCACTCACCATCTCACTCACCTACTCACTCACCTACTCACCTACTCACTCACCTACTCACCTACTCACCTACTCACTCACCTACTCACCCACCTACTCACCTACTCACTCACCTACTCACCTACTCACTCACCTACTCACTCACCTACTCACTCACTCACCTACCCACCTACTCACCTACTCACTCACCTACTCACTCACTCACCCACTCACTCACCCACCCACCCACCCACTCACCCACTCACTCACCCACCCACCCACCCACTCACTCACTCACCCACCCACCCATCCACCCACCCACCCACTCACCAACCCACTCACTCACCCACTCACCCACCCACACACCCACTCACCCACTCACTCACTCACTCACCCACTCACCCACTCACCCACTCACTCACTCACTCACCCACCCACCCACTCACCAACCCACTCACTCACCCACTCACCCACTCACTCACCCACCCACCCACCCACACACCCACCCACTCACCCACTCACCCACTCACTCACCCACGCACCCACTCACTCACTCACCCACTCACCAACCCACTCACCCACCCACTCACTCACCCACCCACTCACTCACCTACTCACCTACTCACTCACCTAGTCACCTACTCACTCACCTACTCACCTACTCACTCACCTACTCACTCACCATCTCACTCACCTACTCACCTACTCACTCACCTACTCACTCACCTACTCACTCACTCACCTACTCACCTACTCACTCACCTACTCACCTACTCACCTACTCACTCACCTACTCACCTACTCACTCACCTACTCACCTACTCACTCACCTATTCACCTACTCACTCACCTACTCACTCACCTACTCACCTACTCACTCATCTACTCACTCACCTACTCACTCACCTACTCACTCACCAACTCACTTACCTACTCACTTACCAACTCACTCACCTTCTCACTCACCTACTCACCAACTCACTCACCTACTCACTCACCTACTCACTCACCAACTCACTCACCTACTCACTCACCTACTCACTCACCTACTCACCTACTCACCTACTCACTCACCTACTCACCTACTCACTCACCTACTCACTCACCATCTCACTCACCTACTCACTCACCTACTCACCTACTCACTCACCTACTCACTCACCTACTCACTCACCAACTCACTCACCTACTCACTCACCTACTCACTCACCTACTCACCTACTCACCTACTCACTCACCTACTCACCTACTCACTCACCTACTCACTCACCATCTCACTCACCTACTCACTCACCTACTCACCTACTCACTCACCTACTCACTCACCTACTCACTCACCTACTCTCCTACTCGCCACTACACTCACCTACTCACCTACTCACACACCTACTCACCTACTCACTCACCTACTCACCTACTCACCTACTCACTCACCTACTCACCTACTCACCGACTCACTCACCTACTCACCTGCTCACTCACCTACTCACCTACTCACTCACCTACTCACCTACTCACCTACTCACCTACTCACTCACTCACCTACTCACTCACCATCTCACTCACCTACTCACTCACTCACCTACTCACTCACCTACTCACTCACCATCTCACTCACCTACTCACTCACCTACTTACCTACTCACCTACTCACTCACCTACTCACCTACTCACTCACCTACTCACTCACCATCTCACTCACCTACTCACTCACCTACTCACCTACTCACTCACCTACTCACTCACCTACTCACTCACCAACTCACTCACCTACTCACTCACCTACTCACTCACCTACTCACCTACTCACTCACCTACTCACCTACTCACTCACCTACTCACTCACCATCTCACTCACCTACTCACTCACCTACTCACCTACTCACTCACCTACTCACTCACCTACTCACTCACCTACTCTCCTACTCGCCACTACACTCACCTACTCACCTACTCACACACCTACTCACCTACTCACTCACCTACTCACCTACTCACCTACTCACTCACCTACTCACCTACTCACCGACTCACTCACCTACTCACCTACTCACTCACCTACTCACCTACTCACTCACCTACTCACCTACTCACTCACTCACCTACTCACTCACCATCTCACTCACCTACTCACTCACTCACCTACTCACTCACCTACTCACTCACCATCTCACTCACCTACTCACTCACCTACTCACCTACTCACTCACCTACTCACCTACTCACTCACCTACTCACTCACCTACTCACCTACTCACTCACCTACTCACCTACTCACTCACCTACTCACTCACTCACCTACTCACCTACTCACCTACTCACTCACCTACTCACCGACTCACTCACCTACTCACCTACTCACTCACCTACTCACTCACCATCTCACTCACCTACTCACTCACTCACCTACTCACTCACCTACTCACTCACCATCTCACTCACCTACTCACTCACCTACTCACCTACTCACTCACCTACTCACCTACTCACCTACTCACTCACCTACTCACCCACCTACTCACCTACTCACTCACCTACTCACCTACTCACTCACCTACTCACCTACTCACCTACTCACTCACCTACTCACCCACCTACTCACCTACTCACTCACCTACTCACCTACTCACTCACCTACTCACTCACCTACTCACTCACTCACCTACCCACCTACTCACCTACTCACTCACCTACTCACTCACTCACCCACTCACTCACCCACCCACCCACCCACTCACCCACTCACTCACCCACCCACCCACTCACTCACTCACCCACCCACCCACTCACCAACCCACTCACTCACCCACTCACCCACCCACACACCCACTCACCCACTCACTCACTCACCCACTCACCCACTCACCCACTCACTCACTCACTCACCCACCCACCCACTCACCAACCCACTCACTCACCCACTCACCCACTCACTCACCCACCCACCCACCCACACACCCACCCACTCACCCACTCACCCACTCACTCACCCACGCACCCACTCACTCACTCACCCACTCACCAACCCACTCACCCACCCACTCACTCACCCACCCACTCACTCACCTACTCACCTACTCACTCACCTACTCACCTACTCACTCACCTACTCACTCACCATCTCACTCACCTACTCACCTACTCACTCACCTACTCACTCACCTACTCACTCACTCACCTACTCACCTACTCACTCACCTACTCACCTACTCACTCACCTACTCACCTACTCACTCACCTACTCACCTACTCACTCACCTATTCACCTACTCACTCACCTACTCACCTACTCACTCATCTACTCACTCACCTACTCACTCACCTACTCACTCACCAACTCACTTACCTACTCACTTACCAACTCACTCACCTTCTCACTCACCTACTCACCAACTCACTCACCTACTCACTCACCTACTCACTCACCAACTCACTCACCTACTCACTCACCAACTCACTCATCTACTCACTCACCAACTCACTCACCTACTCACTCACCTACTCACTCACCTACTCACTCACCAACTCACTCACCTACTCACCTACTCACTCACCAACTCACTCACCTACTCACTCACCTACTCACTCACCTACTCACTCACCTACTCACCTACTCACTCACCTACTCACTCACTCACCTACTCACTTTTCTGTCTGTGTCTCTGTGTGACACAGTGAGGAGGTGGACCACAGCTTCTGTCTGTGTCTCTGTGTGACACAGTGAGGAAGTGGACCACGGCTTCTGTCTGTGTCTCTGTGTGACACAGTGAGGAGGTGGACCACAGCTTCTGTCTGTGTCTCTGTGTGACACAGTGAGGAAGTGGACCACGGCTTCTGTCTGTGTCTCTGTGTGACACAGTGAGGAGGTGGACCACGGCTTCTGTCTGTGTCTCTGTGTGACACAGTGAGGAGGTGGACCACGACTTCTGTCTCACCCTGGAGGTGTATTCCTCCTGTCTGGGTCTGGTGGGGTCGGATGGACGCGACTGGAGGCCGTGTGAGGGACAGGCAGAGACACGGAGACACGGAAACAGAGACACGGGGACACAGAGACAGAGGTGACACACGGAAACAGAGACACGTGTACACAGAGACAGAGGTGACACGGAGACACGGAAACAGAGACACGTGTACACGGAGACAGAGGTGACACACGGAGACACGGATACAGAGACACGGGGACACAGAGACACGGGGACAGAGACACAGAGACAGAGGTGACACACTGACACACAGAGACACAGAGACACAGAGACAGAGGTGACACACGGAGACACGGGGACAGAGACACAGAGACACGGGGACACGGGGACAGAGACACGGGGATGGAGGTGACACACACAGACACGGGGACAGAGACACAGAGACACGGAGACACAGAGACACAGAGACACGGGGACAGACACACGGAGACACAGAGACACCCACTCACTCACTTGGTCACTCCGGTACACACTTACTGTGTAGTTGGTGAGTGACGTGGTGAGTGACGTGGTGAGTGACGTGGTGAGTGAGGTGGTGAGTGACGTGGTGAGTGACGTGGTGTGTAACTTGGTGAGTGACGTGGTGAGTGACGTGGTGAGTGACGTGGTGAGTGACGTGGTGTGTAACGTGGTGAGTGACGTGGTGAGTAACTTGGTGAGTGACGTGGTGAGTGACGTGGTGAGTGACGTGGTGAGTGACGTGGTGAGTGACTTGGTGAATGACGTGGTGAGTGACGTGGTGAATGACGTGGTGAGTGAGGTGGTGAGTGAGGTGGTGAGTGAGGTGGTGAGTGAGGTGGTGAGTGAGGTGGTGAGTGAGGTGGTGAGTGACGTGGTGAATGACGTGGTGAGTGACGTGGTGAGTGAGGTGGTGAGTGACGTGGTGAGTGACGTGGTGAGTGACGTGGTGAGTGAGGTGGTGAGTGACGTGGTGAGTGACGTGGTGAGTGACGTGGTGAGTGAGGTGGTGAGTGACGTGGTGAGTGACGTGGTGAGTGACGTGGTGAGTGAGGTGGTGAGTGAGGTGGTGAGTGACGTGGTGAGTGACGTGGTGAGTGACGTGGTGAGTGACGTGGTGAGTGAGGTGGTGAGTGACGTGGTGAGTGAGGTGGTGAGTGAGGTGGTGAGTGACGTGGTGAGTGACGTGGTGAGTGACGTGGTGAGTAACTTGGTGAGTGAGGTGGTGAGTGAGGTGGTGAGTGACGTGGTGAGTGAGTTGGTGAGTAACTTGGTGAGTGACGTGGTGAGTGACGTGGTGAGTGACGTGGTGAGTAACTTGGTGAGTGAGGTGGTGAGTGACGTGGTGAGTGACGTGGTGAGTAACTTGGTGAGTGACGTGGTGAATGACGTGGTGAGTGACGTGGTGAGTGACGTGGTGAGTGAGGTGGTGAGTGACGTGGTGAGTCACGTAGTGAGTAACTTGGTGAGTGACGTGGTGAGTGAGGTGGTGAGTGACGTGGTGAGTGAGGTGGTGAGTGAGGTGGTGAGTGACGTGGTGAGTGAGGTGGTGAGTGAGGTGGTGAGTGACGTGGTGAGTGAGGTGGTGAGTGAGGTGGTGAGTGAGGTGGTGAGTGACGTGGTGAGTGACGTGGTGAGTGAGGTGGTGAGTGACGTGGTGAGTGAGGTGGTGAGTGAGGTGGTGAGTGAGGTGGTGAGTGACGTGGTGAGTGAGGTGGTCAGTGACGTGGTGAGTGAGGTGGTGAGTGACGTGGTGAGTGACGTGGTGAGTGACGTGGTGAGTGACGTGGTGAGTCATGTGCACAGGGAGGTGAAGTATGTCCTGGTGGCTCAAACGACGCTCACCCTTCAGGACGTGCAGCCTCACCTCGCCACTCACCAACTCATCCCCACCTCAGCCGGTGAGCATCACTCACCCACTCACCCACTCACCCACTCACTCACCCACCCACTCACCCACCCACCCACTCACTCACCCACTCACTCACCCACTCACTCACTCACTCACCCACTCACCCACTCACTCACCACTCACTCACCCACCCACTCACCAACCCACTCACTCACCCACTCACTCACCCACCCACCCACCCACTCACCCACTCACTCACTCACCCACCCACCCACCCACTCACTCACTCACCCACCCACCCACCCACTCACCAACCCACCCACCCACTCACCAACCCACTCACTCACCCACTCACCCACCCACCCACCCACTCACCCACTCACTCACCCACCCACCCACTCACTCACTCACCCACCCACCCACCCACTCACCAACCCACTCACTCACCAACCCACTCACTCACCCACTCACCCACCCACACACCCACTCACCCACTCACTCACTCACCCACTCACCCACTCACTCACCCACCCACTCACCCACTCACTCACTCACCCACCCACTCACCAACCCACTCACTCACCCACTCACCCACTCACTCACTCACCCACTCACTCACCCACTCACCCACCCACTCACCCACCCACTCACCCACCCACTCACTCACTCACCCACTCACTCACCCACTCACCCACCCACTCACTCACTCACCCACTCACTCACCCACTCACTCACCCACCCACTCACCAACCCACTCACTCACCCACTCACCCACTCACTCACTCACCCACTCACTCACCCACTCACCCACCCACTCACCCACCCACTCACCCACCCACTCACTCACTCACCCACTCACTCACCCACTCACCCACCCACTCACTCACTCACCCACTCACTCACCCACTCACCCACCCACTCACCCACCCACCCACTCACCCACCCACTCACTCACCCACTCACTCACTCACCCACTCACTCACTCACTCACCCACTCACTCACCCACCCACCCACTCACCCACTCACTCACCCACTCACTCACCCACTCACTCACTTACTCACTCACTCACTCACCCACTCACCCACTCACTCACCCACCACTCACTCTCCATGTGTCTCCCTGTGTCTCCCTGTGTCTCCCCCAGGTGTGTCTCCCTGTGTCTCCCTGTGTCTCCCTGTGTCTCCCTGTGTCTCTGTGTCTCCCTGTGTCTCTGTGTCTCCCTGTGTCTCTGTCCCCAGGTGTGTCTCCGTGTCTCCCCGTGGCCAGCTGTGTCTCCCTGTGTCTCCCTGTGTCTCCCTGTGTCTCCCCCAGGTGTGTCTCCGTGTCTCCCCGTGGCCAGCTGTGTCTCCCTGTGTCTCACTGTGTCTCCCTGTGTCTCTGTGTCTCCCTGTGTCTCCCCGTAGCCAGCTGTGTCTCCCTGTGTCTCTGTGTCTCCCTGTGTCTCCCTGTGTCTCTGTGTCTCTGTGTCTCTGTCCCCAGGTGTGTCTCCGTGTCTCCCCGTAGCCAGCTGTGTCTCATTGTGTCTCCCTGTGTCTCCCTGTGTCTCTGTGTCTCCCTGTGTCTCCCCGTGTCTCTGTGTCTCCCTGTCTCCCTGTGTCTCCCCGTGTATCTGTGTCTCCCTGTGTCTCCCTGTGTCTCCCTGTGTCTCTGTCCCCAGGTGTGTCTCCCTGTGTCTCCCTGTGTCTCTGTCCCCAGGTGTGTCTCTGTGTCTCCCCGTAGCCAGCTGTGTCTCCCTGTGTCTCCCTGTGTCTCCCTGTGTCTCTGTGTCTCTGTGTCTCCCTGTCTCTCTGTGTCTCTGTCCCCAGGTTTGTCTCCGTGTCTCCCCGTAGCCAGCTGTGTCTCCCTGTGTCTCTGTCTCCCTGTGTCTCTCTGTGTCTCTGTCCCCAGGTGTGTCTCCGTGTCTCCCCGTAGCCAGCTGTGTCTCCCTGTGTCTCTGTGTCTCTGTGTCTCTGTCCCCAGGTGTGTCTCCGTGTCTCCCCGTAGCCAGCTGTGTCTCACTGTGTCTCTGTGTCTCCCTGTGTCTCCCTGTGTCTCCCCCAGGTGTGTCTCCCCGTAGCCAGCTGTGTCTCTCTGTGTCTCTGTCCCCAGGTGTGTCTCCGTGTCTCCCCGTAGCTAGCTGTGTCTCCCTGTGTCTCCCTGTGTCTCTGTGTCTCTGTCCCCAGGTGTGTCTCCGTGTCTCCCCGTAGCCAGCTGTGTCTCACTGTGTCTCTGTGTCTCCCTGTGTCTCCCTGTGTCTCCCTGTGTCTCTGTGTCTCTGTCCCCAGGTGTGTCTCCGTGTCTCCCCGTAGCCAGCTGTGTCTCCCTGTGTCTCCCTGTGTCTCTGTGTCTCTGTCCCCAGGTGTGTCTCCGTGTCTCCCCGTAGCCAGCTGTGTCTCTGTGTCTCCCTGTGTCTCTGTGTCTCTGTCCCCAGGTGTGTCTCCGTGTCTCCCCGTAGCCAGCTGTGTCTCCCTGTGTCTCTGTGTCTCTGTGTCTCTGTCCCCAGGTGTGTCTCCGTGTCTCCCCGTAGCCAGCTGTGTCTCTCTGTGTCTCTGTCCCCAGGTGTGTCTCCGTGTCTCCCCGTAGCCAGCTGTGTCTCCCTGTGTCTCCCTGTGTCTCTGTGTCTCTGTCCCCAGGTGTGTCTCCGTGTCTCCCCGTAGCCAGCTGTGTCTCCCTGTGTCTCTGTGTCTCCCTGTGTCTCTGTGTCTCTGTCCCCAGGTGTGTCTCCGTGTCTCCCCGTAGCCAGCTGTGTCTCCCTGTGTCTCCCTGTGTCTCTCTGTGTCTCTGTGTCTCTGTGTCTCTGTGTCTCCCTGTGTCTCTGTGTCTCTGTCCCCAGGTGTGTCTCCGTGTCTCCCCGTAGCCAGCTGTGTCTCTGTGTCTCCCTGTGTCTCTGTGTCTCTGTCCCCAGGTGTGTCTCCGTGTCTCCCCGTAGCCAGCTGTGTCTCTGTGTCTCCCTGTGTCTCTGTGTCTCTGTCCCCAGGTGTGTCTCCGTGTCTCCCCGTAGCCAGCTGTGTCTCGCTGCGACTCTCAGCGCTCCCGGTCTGCGTGTCCACAGACTCTGTCTCAGGGTGGCTCAGTGTTCAGGTGAGTGTATGAGTGAGTGAGTGTATGAGTGAGTGAGTGTATGAGTGAGTGTATGAGTGAGTGAGTGTATGAGTGAGTGAGTGTATGAGTGAGTGAGTGTATGAGTGAGTGAGTGTATGAGTGAGTGTATGAGTGAGTGAGTGTATGAGTGAGTGAGTGTATGAGTGAGTGAGTGTATGAGTGAGTGAGTGTATGAGTGAGTGTATGAGTGAGTGAGTGTATGAGTGAGTGAGTGTATGAGTGAGTGAGTGTATGAGTGAGTGTATGAGTGAGTGAGTGTATGAGTGAGTGAGTGTATGAGTGAGTGTATGAGTGAGTGAGTGTATGAGTGAGTGAGTGTATGAGTGAGTGAGTGTATGAGTGAGTGAGTGTATGAGTGAGTGTATGAGTGAGTGTATGAGTGAGTGTATGAGTGAGTGAGTGTATGAGTGAGTGAGTGAGTGTATGAGTGAGTGAGTGAGTGTGTGAGTGAGTGAGTGTATGAGTGAGTGAGTGTATGAGTGAGTGTATGAGTGAGTGAGTGTATGAGTGGTGAGTGAGTGGTGAGTGAGAGTGGTGAGTGAGTGTATGAGTGTGTGTGTGTGAGTGAGTGTATGAGTGAGTGAGTGAGTGTATGAGTGAGTGAGTGGTGAGTGAGTGTATGAGTGTGTGAGTGTATGAGTGAGTGAGTGTATGAGTGAGTGAGTGTATGAGTGAGTGAGTGTATGAGTGAGTGAGTGTATGAGTGAGTGTATGAGTGAGTGTATGAGTGAGTGAGTGTATGAGTGAGTGTATGAGTGAGTGAGTGTATGAGTGAGTGAGTGAGTGTATGAGTGAGTGAGTGAGTGTATGAGTGAGTGAGTGTATGAGTGAGTGAGTGTATGAGTGAGTGTATGAGTGAGTGAGTGTATGAGTGGTGAGTGAGTGGTGAGTGAGAGTGGTGAGTGAGTGTATGAGTGTGTGTGTGAGTGAGTGTATGAGTGAGTGAGTGAGTGTATGAGTGAGTGAGTGAGTGGTGAGTGAGTGTATGAGTGTGTGAGTGTATGAGTGGTGAGTGAGAGTGGTGTATGAGTGAGTGAGTGTATGAGTGAGTGAGTGAGTGGTGAGTGAGTTTATGAGTGAGTGAGTTAGTGTATGAGTGAGTGAGTGTATGAGTGTGTGAGTGTATGAGTGAGTGAGTGGTGAGTGAGAGTGGTGAGTGAGTGTATGAGTGTATGAGTGAGTGTATGAGTGAGTGAGTGAGTGTATGAGTGGTGAGTGATAGTGGTGAGTGATAGTGGTGAGTGGTGAGTGATAGTGGTGAGTGAGTGAGAGTGGTGAGTGAGAGTGGTGAGTGGTGAGGTGTGAGTGGTGAGTGATAGTGGTGAGTGTGTGAGTGGTGAGTGATAGTGGTGAGTGATAGTGGTGAGTGATAGTGGTGAGTGAGAGTGGTGAGTGATAGTGGTGAGTGATAGTGGTGAGTGATAGTGGTGAGTGATAGTGGTGAGTGTATGGTGAGTGAGTGTATGAGTGAGTGAGTGATAGTGGTGAGTGTGAGTGGTGAGTGATAGTGGTGAGTGATTGTGGTGAGTGAGTGTATGAGTGAGTGAGTGTATGAGTGGTGAGTGATAGTGGTGAGTGATAGTGGTGAGTGAGAGTGGTGAGTGATAGTGGTGAGTGATAGTGGTGAGTGTATGAGTGAGTGTATGAGTGAGTGAGTGGTGAGTGTGAGTGGTGAGTGATAGTGGTGAGTGAGTGTATGAGTGAGTGAGTGTATGAGTGGTGAGTGAGAGTGGTGAGTGATAGTGGTGAGTGATAGTGGTGAGTGATAGTGGTGAGTGTGGTGAGTAGCGAGCAGGTTCTCTGTGGTCCCGCTTGCACTGCGTGGTGAGTGAGTGGTGAGTGAGAGTGGTGAGTGAGTGTATGAGTGAGTGAGTGTATGAGTGAGTGAGTGGTGAGTGAGTGTATGAGTGAGTGAGTGAGTGTATGAGTGAGTGAGTGGTGAGTGATAGTGGTGAGTGTATGAGTGAGTGTATGAGTGAGTGAGTGGTGAGTGAGTGGTGAGTGATAGTGGTGAGTGAGTGTATGAGTGAGTGAGTGTATGAGTGGTGAGTGTATGAGTGGTGAGTGTGAGTGGTGAGTGAGTGTATGAGTGAGTGAGTGTATGAGTGGTGAGTGAGTGGTGAGTGAGTGTATGAGTGAGTGAGTGGTGAGTGAGTGAGTGTATGAGTGAGTGAGTGTATGAGTGAGTGAGTGTGAGTGGTGAGTGTGAGTGATGAGTGAGTGGTGAGTGATAGTGGTGAGTGTGTGGTGAGTAGCGAGCAGGTTCTCTGTGGTCCCGCTTGCACTGCGTGGTGAGTGAGTGGTGAGTGAGAGTGGTGAGTGAGTGTATGAGTGAGTGAGTGTATGAGTGGTGAGTGTGAGTGATGAGTGATAGTGGTGAGTGATTGTGGTGAGTGTGTGGTGAGTAGCGAGCAGGTTCTCTGTGGTCCCGCTTGCACTGCGTGGTGAGTGAGTGGTGAGTGGTGAGTGAGTGGTGAGTGAGTGGTGAGTGATTGTGGTGAGTGTGTGGTGAGTAGCGAGCAGGTTCTCTGTGGTCCCGCTTGCACTGCGTGGTGAGTGAGTGGTGAGTGGTGAGTGAGTGGTGAGTGAGTGGTGAGTGATTGTGGTGAGTGTGTGGTGAGTAGCGAGCAGGTTCTCTGTGGTCCCGCTTGCACTGCGTGGTGAGTGAGTGGTGAGTGGTGAGTGAGTGGTGAGTGAGTGGTGAGTGGTGAGTGAGTGGTGAGTGAGTGGTGAGTGATTGTGGTGAGTGTGTGGTGAGTAGCGAGCAGGTTCTCTGTGGTCCCGCTTGCACTGCGTGGTGAGTGAGTGGTGAGTGGTGAGTGAGTGGTGAGTGAGTGGTGAGTGATTGTGGTGAGTGTGTGGTGAGTAGCGAGCAGGTTCTCTGTGGTCCCGCTTGCACTGCGTGGTGAGTGAGTGGTGAGTGGTGAGTGAGTGGTGAGTGAGTGGTGAGTGGTGAGTGAGTGGTGAGTGAGTGGTGAGTGATTGTGGTGAGTGTGTGGTGAGTAGCGAGCAGGTTCTCTGTGGTCCCGCTTGCACTGCGTGGTGAGTGAGTGGTGAGTGGTGAGTGAGTGGTGAGTGAGTGGTGAGTGATTGTGGTGAGTGTGTGGTGAGTAGCGAGCAGGTTCTCTGTGGTCCCGCTTGCACTGCGTGGTGAGGCGCTCCACTCTCTGCTGTTTCTACTCCCCGCTGGAGCTGCAGGCAGCCGTGGAGCCTACAGAGATCCTCCACCTCACCAGGGTGAGCGGGGCGGGGGGTGGGCCTCCCCTAGGTCGACTCAGCCTCAAATCAGTCACCTGGTGGTGGTGGTGGTGGGGGTGGTGGTGGTGATGGTGGTGGTGATGGTGGTGGTGGTGGTGATGGTTATTGTGGTGATGGTGGTGATGGTGGCGATGGTGGTGGTGATGGCGGTGGTGGTGGTGATGGTGGTGGTGATGGTGGTGGAGTGGTGGTGGTGCTGGCCACCCACCCTCTCTGTGTGTAACCACAGTGCCGGTAGCCTTCATAGACGCTGCTGCTGCTACTCGCTACTAACACAGCACTTGCCCCTACAGCCCTGCTAGAGGCTACCTGGGGGAGCTTTGTCTGTGTCTCAGCACTTGCCCCTGCAGCCCTGCTAGAGGCTACCTGGGGGAGCTTTGTCTGTGTCTCGGCACTTGCCCCTACAGCCCTGCTAGAGGCTACCTGGGGGAGCTTTGTCTGTGTCTCAGCACTTGCCCCTACAGCCCTGCCAGAGGCTACCTGGGGGAGCTTTGTCTGTGCCTCAGCACTTGCCCCTACATCCCTGCTAGAGGCTACCTGGGGGAGCTTTGTCTGCATCTCAGCACTTGCCCCTGCAGCCCTGCTAGAGGCTACCTGGGGGAGCTTTGTCTGTGTCTCGGCACTTGCCCCTACAGCCCTGCTAGAGGCTACCTGGGGGACCTTTGTCTGTGTCTCGGCACTTGCCCCTACAGCCCTGCTAGAGGCTACCTGGGGGAGCTTTGTCTGTGTCTCAGCACTTGCCCCTACAGCCCTGCCAGAGGCTACCTGGGGGAGCTTTGTCTCTGTGTCTCAGCACTTGCCCCTACAGCCCTGCTAGAGGCTACCTGGGGGAGCTTTGTCTGTGTCTCAGCACTTGCCCCTACAGCCCTGCTAGAGGCTACCTGGGGGAGCTTTGTCTCTGTGTCTCAGCACTTGCCCCTACAGCCCTGCTAGAGGCTACCTGGGGGAGCTTTGTCTGTGCCTCAGCACTTGCCCCTACATCCCTGCTAGAGGCTACCTGGGGGAGCTTTGTCTGCATCTCAGCACTTGCCCCTGCAGCCCTGCTAGAGGCTACCTGGGGGAGCTTTGTCTGTGTCTCGGCACTTGCCCCTACAGCCCTGCTAGAGGCTACCTGGGGGAGCTTTGTCTGCGTCTCAGCACTTGCCCCTGCAGCCCTGCTAGAGGCTACCTGGGGGAGCTTTGTCTGTGTCTCAGCACTTGCCCCTACAGCCCTGCTAGAGGCTACCTGGGGGACCTTTGCCTGTGTCTGTGTGCAGGACATGGCGGTGCATGCGAGTGAGCGGGGAAGCGTCCACCGTTTGTTCTCAATCACCCTCACCCCCTCCTCCTCCTCCTCACCAGCCACCACCCTCACCACCACCCTCACCACCTCCTCCTCACCAGCCACCACCCTCACCACCCTCACCACCACCCTCACCACCTCCTCACCAGCCACCGTGCCCGGCACAATCCATCTGCAAGTTGACTCTCGAAGCCTCATGCGGCACTGGGAGATCGGGCTGAGGAAACACCTCAGGGACATGGGTACTCACCTACTCACTCACCTACTCACCTACTCACTCACCTACTCACCTACTCACTCACCTACTCACTCACCTACTCACTCACCTACTCACTCACCTACTCACCTACTCACCTACTCACTCACCTACTCACCTACTCACTCACCTACTCACTCACCTACTCACTCACCTACTCACTCACCTACTCACCTACTCACTCACCTACTCACCTACTCACTCACCTACTCACTCACCTACTCACTCACCTACTCACCTACTCACTCACCTACTCACCTACTCACTCACCTACTCACTCACCTACTCACTCACCTACTCACCTACTCACTCACCTACTCACCTACTCACTCACCTACTCACTCACCTACTCACTCACCTACTCACTCACCTACTCACCTACTCACTCACCTACTCACTCACCTCCTCACTCACCTACTCACTCACCTACTCACCTACTCACTCACCTACTCACTCACCAACTCACTCACCTACTCACTCACCTACTCACCTACTCACTCACCTACTCACTCACCTACTCACCTACTCACTCACCTACTCACCTACTCACTCACCTCCTCACTCACCTACTCACTCACCTACTCACCTACTCACTCACCTACTCACTCACCTACTCACTCACCTACTCACTCACCTACTCACCTACTCACTCACGTACTCACTCACCCACTCACTCACCTACTCACTTACTCACTCACCTACTCACCTACTCACTCACCTACTCACCTACTCACTCACCTACTCACTCACCTACTCACTCACCTACTCACCTACTCACTCACCTACTCACACACCTACTCACTCACCTACTCACTCACCTACTCACCTACTCACTCACCTACTCACCTACTCACTCACCTACTCACTCACCTACTCACTCACTCACCTACTCACTCACCTACTCACTCACCCACTCACTCACCTACTCACCCACTTACCCACTCACTCACCTACTAACTCACCTACTCACTCGCTCACCTACTCACTCACCTACTCACCCACTTACCCACTCACTCACCTACTCACTCACTTAAATCACTCGCTCACCTACTCACTCACCTACTCACCCACTTACCCACTCACTCACCTACTAACTCACCTGCTCACTCACTTACTAACTCGCTCACCTACTCACTCACCTACTCACCCACTCACTCACCTACTCACTTACTCACTCACCTACTCACCCACTCACTCACCTACTCACTCACCCACTCACTCACCCACTCACTCACCCACTCACTCACCCACTCGCTCACCTACTCACTCACCTACTCACTCACCTACTCACTCACCTACGCACTCACCCACTCACTCACTCACTCACCTACTCACTCACCTACTCACTCACCCACTCACTCACCTACTCACTCACCTACTCACTCACCTACTCACTCACCTACGCACTCACCTACTCACTCACTCACCTACTCACTCGCCCACCCACCCCGCTACGTGTGTGTGTGTGGTTGTGTGTGCGTGGTGCCGGACGGGCAACTCTGTCGTGGACAGTGCTGTGGGGGAAAGGCCAATTCCGATTGGTCTTTCCCCTCATGGCGTCTGTGGCCACCACAGTGGCTAAAAGGGGGCTCTGGACGGGTGCGAGGGGCTGGTAACCCCTCCACCTTCAATTAATTACCACTAAACCACGTCTAAAATATCTAACTAATAAGCTTGTGCCGGAGGCCCCGGGGGGACAGGCGTCTATGACGTCTCCTGGCCAAACCCCATTTGGCGGAGCCAGGAGATTGAATCTCTACCCTCGGGGCTCCTCCGGAAACAACGAAAAGCCACTACGGGTGGCCACGTGGAATGTTCGAACGCTCACTGCGGAGGAGAGGCTGCCACTCCTCTGTCGGGAGCTGGACCGGTACCGCCTGGATCTCTGGGGCATTCAGGAGGTCCGGTGGACCGGTTCTGGCTCCTGCCACCATGAGGGGTGGACAGTCCTCTACTCGGGGCAGCAGACTGCCAAACAACAGGGTGTGGCTCTTCTTTTGAACAAAAGAATGAAGGGGGCGTGGGAGCGTGGCGGTGAGGTGTGGGAAGCTGTAAGCCCCAGGCTACTTTGGGCTCACCTTCCCATCAACCGGAGGCGAGGAATGGTGGTCGTGGTTACTTATGCCCCCACCGAAGACGAACATCCGTGGAGGGATGCAGGCAAAGCCGATGAGTCGGATGCCTTCTATGACCTCCTGTCACAGGTGCTGGCTAAAGTGACCCGTCGGGATAGAGTCATCTTGTTGGGTGACTTCAATGCCCGAGTTGATCATGATGCTGGCACCTGGTCTGGAGTGATTGGAAGACATGGGCCAGATCAGCTCAATAACGGCAGGAGGCTGCTAGATTTTTGTGCAGCCCATGGGCTTGTAGTTACCAACACGCTGTTCCGGCATCGGTGCATCCACACATCATGGATGCATGCCGGGTCCAAGCAAGAACATCTGCTGGACTACATAGTGACGGAACAGCGGATGCGGGCCCATGTCCTTGACACCGTGACCTACCGTGGAGCTGATCTACCCACTGACCATCGACTAGTCATCTGTAAGATGCGCCTACCATTCTTTCACTCCGGTGGTGGGTGTACACCCAGGATCCCATTCATGCAAGCGAGAATTTAATCATCGCTTGCGGCTGGGGTTGGCATCGTCCCCCACTCCTGATGTCGAGGGTAAATGGGCGAGGTTTAGGACTGTGACTCATGCAGCTGCAATGGCTGCTTTGGGTACGCGGTCCAGACCTCCCCAGAGACCCTGGCTGACAGAGGAAGTGTTCAGGATGGTTGAGAAAAAGCGACAGGCCTACTGTCATCGGCTACAGAATCCCACGTCAGAGAATGAGGAGGCTTACCGCAGCCTTCGCTCGGAGGTTCGGAGAGCCGTGAGGCGCTGCAAAGATGGGTGGTGGTCGCGGATTGCTGAGGAGATGGAGTCTGCCTCAATGGCCCGCGATCACAAATCTCTATTTAACTCCATCAAAAAAGTAACCTGCAGCGCCACACCTATTACCATCATTAGGGGAAAAAACGGTGATCCAATCTCCGACCCCCAAGAACAGGTTTGCAGATTTACTGAGCATTTCTGTGAGGTCCTGGGGGAGGGGAAATCCCTCTGCCAGGAAAACATCGTGGCACAAAGTGAGGATGACCCTGCTGAGGCTGCGGTGCCTCAAATATTGGAAGAAGTCACCCCCTGTGAGTGGCTGGCTGAGGTGCCATCTGTTGAGGAAGTACTGAAGGTGATCCGGAGTCTGAGACCATGAAAGGCACCGGGCAGAGATGATCTCCCAAGTGAAATGCTGAGGAAGGGTGGCGTTTGTGCACAGACTGCCCTACATGACATCATAACAACAGTCTGGACCACTGGACGGGTTCCGCAGGATTGGAAGGATTGCCCTGGTGGTCCCCCTCTTTAAGAAGGGGGACCGCACAGACTTTAACAACTACAGGGGCATCTCACTCCTCAGTGTGCCGGGAAAGGTCCTGGAAAGGATTATTCAACATCGCCTTGCCAGGCACGCTGAGGAGAGGCTTGCGGAGCCCCAATGCGGTTTTAGGAAAGGGCGGTCCTGCACAGATTCCATATTTTCTGCCCATTTGCTACAGCAGAGATGTAGGGAATTCCAACAAGATCTACATCTCTGTTTTATTGACCTGGTCAAGGCCTTATGATACCATCAGTAGGCCTGGGCTCTAGATTATTCTTCGGAGTCCCTGACTCTCTGCTGACGATCATTAAGGACCTTCGTGATGGTGAGCGGGCCCGGGTAAAACTACGTGGCCGGGAGTCAGAGCCATTCCCTGTACACCTTGGAGTGCGACAGGGATATCCTCTGGCTCCCACATTATTTAACATCTATTTTGACCACTTAGTTCGTGAAGCCTTCAATAGCTGGTACAGATATAATGGGAGGCTGATCGATGCCCAGGTGCGGTCAAGGGATGGCTACCTATTGCTCAACCACGTTATGTATGCCGATGATTTGGTGATTGCAGCTCACTCAGAGGAGGAGTTAGAGGCGCTGCTGCTGAAACTGGAGCGTGCCACTAAGAGATGGGGCCTTACCATCAGCCCCACCAAAACTAAGCACCTGCCTGGGTATTTTGTACCATCGGACACTCGACCCCCACAACTCCCGATCGGTGATGGGGCAGTCGTGGAGAGAGTGGAGAGTTTCCCATACCTGGGCAGTGTGCTCATTACCGGCTCCGGTTTAACAGCAGAGGTCTCACTCCGAATCAGTTGAGCGGCAATATCTTTTCATCGGTTGCGTAACGCTGTGTGGAAGCTACCTGGTCTGTCGCTCCGCACTAAGCTTCGGGTCTTCTCGGCCACGGTCGTTCCCTCCCTTCTCTATGCTTGCGAAACGTGGACACCCCTAATGGAACATCTTCGCCGGTTAGGAATATTTATCTGGCCTGCCTACGATCCATCCTGGATTTAACCAGACTGGATTGTGTGAGGAGCTCATAAATCCTTGAAAGATCTGGGCAAGGTCCCATCGGTGAGCTCCTCCGGCGGGCAAGGCTACGTTGGCTGGGTCATGTAGCCCGCATGCCCAGCCACCGCATGCCGAAACAGCTTTTGTTCGGCCGGATCGAGGGGGCTAAACGGGCGCAGCACGGGCTAGAGAAGAGATGGAGTGATGTGGTACAGGAGGACGTGGAGCTGAGTGGACTTGCCGATGACTGGTACCAGCGGTGTCAAGATCGGCCTCTGTGGAGGAGGCTCGTGAAGGACGCTGCTACTGGGCAGTTGGAGGCAGTCGCCCTCCAACAACAACGGAGGGCGGAGGAGCGACGCTCACAACAACGAGCGGAGCGCCGGGTGGCTAAAGCACAGCAGGTTGGCACAGTAGGGGGCACAGGTGGTGCATCAGCCAGTCATCTCAGTCAGTCTACCCGTGGCACCTGCTGGGTCTGGCCCGTGACCTCCTGCCAGCGGGCGTTTGATACTTCACGTGGCCTCAGGGTGCACATAGCCTGGCACAAGCGTCGTGGTGACGTCACCGGTTGTTGTTGTTGCAGCTCGCTGGGGTGAGTGCGCAGAGACGGCTATGGTCATGGCTGCTCCTGTCGCAAGGAAGCCATACTTCACCACAAGTTGCACCACCACCACCACTACCACCACTACCAGCAGTAGCAGCAGCAGCAGCAACCAGCAACATTTAGGTACAATGTAAAATCGGAAACATCATCAGCACTATCATCACCGCCATCACCACCATCACTATCACCATCATCACTATCACCATCACCACCATCATCACTATCACCATCATCACTATCACCACCATCACTATCACCACCATCACTATCACCACCATCACCACTATCACCATCATCACTACCATCACCACCACCATCATTATCACCACCACCATCATCACCATCATCACTATCACCATCATCATTATCACCACCATCACCACCACCATCATCACCACCATCACTATCACCACCACCATCACCATCATCACCACCATCATCACCACCATCATCACCACCACCATCACCACCATCACCACCACCATCACCACCACCACCATCACCACCACCATCACCATCATCACCACCACCATCATCACCACCATCATCACTTTCTCTTTCCCCACAGGTGCTGCGCGTGGCTCCTCCCACTCTCCCGAGGCTCCGCCTCCCTGGGCCGCCCTTTTTGAGCAGTCTCCGCTCCGATTGGTCGAACACTGCGGCCCCGCCTCCCCACTTGCCAGCGCCTCTCCCCGATTGGCCGACCCTCGGCCAACCTCTCGCCGATTGGTCGAGCCTCGACCCCGGCAAACCTCTCCCCGATTGGCCGAGCCTCGGCGGACCTCTCCCCGATTGGCAGAGCCTTCGCCTCGGCCAACCGCTCACGGATTGGTTGAGCCTCGACCTCGGCGAACCTCTCCCCGATTGGCCGAGCCTCGGCGGACCTCTCCCCGATTGGCCGAGCCTCGGCGGACCTCTCCCCGATTGGCCGAGCCTCGGCGGACCTCTCCCCGATTGGTCGAGCCTCGGCGGACCTCTCCCCGATTGGTCGAGCCTCGGCGGACCTCTCCCCGATTGGTCGAGCCTCGGCGGACCTCTCCCCGATTGGCCGAACCGCCAACACGGGGGACCTCTCCCCGATTGGCTGAGCCTCGGCGGACCTCTCCCCGATTGGCCGAGCCGCGGGCGGCCAAGCGCAGAGCCCCTCCCCCTCCTCTAGCACCGCCCCCTTACTCCCTGGCCACACCCCCCGTTCGCGCGGCCCCGCCCCTTTGCTCAGTGGCCACGCCCCCACGACGAGTGGCCCCGCCCATACCCCTGATCGCCACGCCCCCTCGCGTGTTGGCCAATGGGGCGGTGGCCACGCCCATTCTGTGCGTAGCTCCACCCCGTGGCGGAGTGGCCCCACCCCCCAAGCCCTTCCCCCGCACGCTGATGTAGTGGAAGAGGACAATAGGTGACGTTTCAGGCCATGGGCCTTCTGCAGAGCACACAGAGAGGCGAGACACTCACCACTACACAGAGACCCATAGACTCACCACTACCACACAGAGACCCATAGACTCACCACCACACAGAGACCCATAGACTCACCACCACACAGAGACCCATAGACTCATCACCACCACACAGAGACCCATAGACTCATCACCACACAGAGACCCATAGACTCACCACCACCACACAGAGACCCATAGACTCATCACCACCACACAGAGACCCATAGACTCACCACCACCACACAGAGACCCATAGACTCATCACCACCACACAGAGACCCATAGACTCATCATCACCACACAGAGACCCATAGACTCATCACCACCACACAGAGACCCATAGACTCATCACCACCACACAGAGACCCATAGACTCATCACCACCACCACACAGAGAACCACATAGTGAGGTAATAAACTCGTTGTGTGAATGTCCCAACTCTTGATTGTGATATCTGTAATTGTCAATAAATTAATTTGGAATGGGATTTAAATTATTTAGATGTGTTAATGATTGAATTAACATCACACTGAGGGAGCGGTAACGTCATGTCGATCTTCATCCAGCGGTGATGACGTCATATCGAGCCTCATCCAGCGGAGGCGATGTAACACGTGGTGTAGAGGTCACGTGATTTTTAGCAATGAAAGAAGTGACGTCACCACCTTCGTTCTGACGTTACGTCATCAGTGTCGCCATGAAGTCGGCCATTTTACTCGGGGGGGGGCGGGGCGCCGCCATTGATGGGACCCCGCGCGTCGCGTTGTGATGACGGCGAACTTTTCGTGCCCCGCCTACCCCGTCCACTATCAGTTGATGGGGGGTGGGGCTAGAGGTGAGGGGGTGGAGCTAGAGGAGAGGGTGGGGCTAGAGCACCAGGTGTCGGGGGGGTTGTAGTTGGGGGTCATGTTGATAGGGGCGTGGCCAAACGAGAGGGGGCGCGGTCTAGAGGACGTAGGCGGGCGGGGTTCGGTGAGTCGTGTGGGCGTGGCTAGATAGTGGCGGTGTAGGCGGGGGCTCGATTATGAGGGGTGGGCGTGGCTAGGTGGTGGAGGGGCGTGGCTAGAGGCGATTCCTGTCATGGCTGCCGCCTTGGTCACCGCTGCGAGTCGCGCGCTGCGCGTGGTGAGCGGCGGCGGCGTGAGACGAGGAGGTGAGGGAGCTGGTGAGGGTGGTGGTGGTGGTGAGGGTGGTGGTGGTGAGGGTGGTGAGGGTGGTGGTGGTGAGGGTGGTGAGGGTGGTGGTGGTGAGGGTGGTGAGGGTGGTGGTGGTGAGGGTGGTGAGGGTGGTGGTGGTGAGGGTGGTGGTGGTGAGGGTGGTGGTGATGATGATGGTGTTGGTGGTGGTGAGGGTGGTGAGGGTGGTGGTGGTGAGGGTGGTGGTGGTGAGGGTGGTGGTGATGATGATGGTGTTGGTGGTGGTGAGGGTGGTGAGGGTGGTGGTGGTGGTGAGGGTGGTGGTGGTGAGGGTGGTGGTGGTGAGGGTGGTGGTGGTGGTGAGGGTGGTGGTGGTGAGGGTGGTGGTGGTGGTGAGGGTGGTGGTGAGGGAGGTGGTGGTGGTGAGGGTGGTGGTGGTGGTGAGGGTGGTGGTGGTGAGGGTGGTGGTGGTGGTGAGGGTGGTGGTGAGGGAGGTGGTGGTGGTGAGGGTGGTGGTGGTGGTGAGGGTGGTGGTGGTGAGGGTGGTGAGGGTGGTGGTGGTGAGGGCGGGAGAACTCGCGACACGTGTCTCTGTGTCCTTGGCTCCACGTGTCTCTGTGTCATTGTGTCTCTGTGTGTCCTTGTGTCTCTGTGTCATTGTGTCTCTGTGTGTCATTGTGTCTCTGTGTCATTGTGTCTCCACGTGTCTCTCTGCCTCCCCCTGTCTCTCTGTCTCCCCGTGTCACTGTGTGTGTGTCACTGTGTGTGTGTCACTGTGTGTGTGTGTCACTGTGTGTGTTTCACTGTGTGTGTGTCACTGTGTGTGTGTCACTGTGTGTGTGTCACTGTGTGTGTGTCACTGTGTGTGTGTGTCACTGTGTGTGTGTCACTGTGTGTCACTGTGTGTGTGTGTCACTGTGTGTGTGTCACTGTGTGTGTGTCACTGTGTGTGTGTCACTGTGTGTGTGTCACTGTGTGTGTCACTGTCTGTGTGTCACTGTGTGTGTGTCACTGTGTGTGTGTCACTGTGTGTGTCACTGTGTGTGTGTGTCACTGTGTGTGTTTCACTGTGTGTGTCACTGTGTGTGTGTGTCACTGTGTGTGTCACTGTGTGTGTCACTGTCTGTGTGTCACTGTCTGTGTGTCACTGTGTGTGTGTCACTGTGTGTGTGTCACTGTGTGTGTGTCACTGTGTGTGTCACTGTCTGTGTGTCACTGTCTGTGTGTCACTGTGTGTGTGTCACTGTGTGTGTGTCACTGTGTGTGTGTCACTGTGTGTGTCACTGTCTGTGTGTCACTGTCTGTGTGTCACTGTGTGTGTGTCACTGTGTGTGTGTCACTGTGTGTGTGTCACTGTGTGTGTCACTGTCTGTGTGTCACTGTGTGTGTGTCACTGTGTGTGTGTCACTGTGTGTGTCACTGTGTGTGTGTGTCACTGTGTGTGTTTCACTGTGTGTGTGTCACTGTGTGTGTGTCACGGTGTGTGTGTCACTGTGTGTGTGTCACTGTGTGTGTGTCACTGTGTGTGTGTGTCACTGTGTGTGTGTCACTGTGTGTCACTGTGTGTGTGTGTCACTGTGTGTGTGTCACTGTGTGTGTGTCACTGTGTGTCACTGTGTGTCACTGTGTGTGTGTCACTGTGTGTGTGTCACTGTCACTGTGTGTGTGTCACTGTGTGTGTCACTGTGTGTCACTGTGTGTGTGTCACTGTGTGTGTCACTGTGTGTGTGTGTGACTGTGTGTGTGTCACTGTGTGTGTGTCACTGTGTGTGTGTGTGTGTGTCACTGTGTGTCACTGTGTGTGTGTCACTGTGTGTGTCACTGTGTGTGTGTGTGTCACTGTGTGTGTGTCATTGTGTGTGTGTCACTGTGTGTGTGTGTCACTGTGCGTGTCACTGTGTGTGTGTCACTGTGTGTGTGTGTCACTGTGCGTGTCACTGTGTGTGTGTCACCGTCCCCCACAGGGCTGGGTGTCGTTCTCTGCCGCTTCAACAGCGACAGCCTCACCCACAACTCCCCTGCCACAGACACAACGCGGGTGACAGCTGTGTGGGTGTCACTGTGTGTGTGTGTGACTGTGTGTGTGTGTACACTGTGTGTGTGTGTGACTGTGTGTGTGTGTGACTGTATGTGTGTGTGTCACTGTGTGTGTGTGTGACTGTGTGTGTGTGTACACTGTGTGTGTGTGTGACTGTGTGTGTGTGTGACTGTATGTGTGTGTGTCACTGTGTGTGTGTGTGACTGTGTGTGTGTGTACACTGTGTGTGTGTGTGACTGTGTGTGTGTGTGACTGTATGTGTGTGTGTCACTGTGTGTGTGTGTGACTGTGTGTGTGTGTACACTGTGTGTGTGTGTGACTGTGTGTGTGTGTGACTGTATGTGTGTGTGTCACTGTGTGTGTGTGTGACTGTGTGTGTGTGTACACTGTGTGTGTGTGTGACTGTGTGTGTGTGTGACTGTATGTGTGTGTGTCACTGTGTGTGACTGTGTGGGTGTGACTGTGTGTGTGTGTGTCACTGTGTGTGTGTGTGTCACTGTGTGTGTGTGTGGGTGTGACTGTGTGTGTGTGTGTCACTGTGTGTGTGTGTGTCACTGTGTGTGTGTGTGACTGTGTGTGTGTGTGGGTGTGACTGTGTGTGTCACTGTGTGTGTGTGACTGTGTGTGTGTGTGGGTGTGACTGTGTGTGTGTGACTGTGTGTGTGTGTCACTGTGTGTGTGACTGTGTGTGTGTGACTGTGTGTGTGTGTGAGTCTGTGTGTATGTGTGTATGTGTGTGTGAGTCTGTGTGTATGTGTGTGTGACTGTGTGTGTGAGTCTGTGTGTGACTCTGTGTGTGTGTGTGTGACTCTGTGTGTGTGACTCTGTGTGTGTGTGTGAGTCTGTGTGTGTGTGTGTGACTGTGTATGTGTGTGTGAGTCTGTGTGTGTATGTGTGTGTGTGACAGCTGTATGTGTATGTGTGTGTATGTGTGTGTGTATGTGTGTGTGTATGTGTGTGACTCTGTGTATGTGTGTGTGTGACTGTGTATGTGTGTGCCTCTGTGTGTGTGTGACTCTGTGTGTATGTGTGTGACTGTGTATGTGTGTGTGAGTCTGTGTGTGTATGTGTGTGTGACAGCTGTATGTGTGTGGGTGTGTGGGTGTGTGTGTATGTGACTCTGTATGTATGTGTGTGTATGTGTGTGTGTGAGAGTCTGTGTGTGACTCTTTGTGTGTGTGACTCTGTGTGTGAGTCTGTGTGTATGTGTGTGACAGCTGTGTGTGTGTGTGTGTGACAGCTGTGTGTGTGTGTGGGTGACTCTGTGTGTGTGTGACTGTGTTACTGTGTGTGTATGTGTGTGACTCTGTGTGTATGTGTGTGACTGTGTGTGTGACTGTGTGTGTATGTGACTCTGTGTGTGTGTGACTCTGTGTGTGTGACTGTGTGTGTGTGAGACTCTGTGTGTGTGACTCTGTGTGTGTGACTCTGTGTGACTCTGTGTGTGTGTGTGACTCTGTGTGTGTGTGTGACTCTGTGTGTGTGTGTAGGTGAGTGACCCGGTGGTGAGTGACCTGTTGGTGAGTGACCTGGTGGTGAGTGACCCCTACACTGATCCCCCACGTCGCTGCGTCCTTTGCAACATCGACGTGGACTACAAAAACACCCAGGTGAGAGCTCCTCACCACTCACTCACCACCCACTCACCCACTCACTCACCACCCACTCACCACTCACTCACTCACTCACCCACTCACCCACTCACTCACTCACCACTCGCTCACCCACTCACTCACCCACCCACTCACACACTCACTCACCCACTCACTCACTCACCACTCACTCACCACTCACTCACACACTCACCCACACTCACTCACTCACCCACTCACTCACCCACTCACTCACCCACTCACTCACACACTCACCCACCCACCCACTCACACACTCACCCACTCACTCACCCACCCACTCACCCACTCACTCACTCATCGCTCACCCACTCACTCACCCACTCACCCACTCACTCACCCACTCACTCACTCACTCACCCACTCACTCACCCACTCACCCACTCACTCACTCACCCACTCACTCACTCACTCACCCACTCACTCACTCACTCACCCACTCACTCACTCACCCACTCACTCACCCACTCACTCACTCACCCACTCACCCACTCACCCACTCACTCACCCACTCACTCACCCACTCACCCACCCACTCACCCACTCACCCACTCACCCACCCACTCACCCACCCACTCACCCACTCAACCACCCACTCACCCACTCACTCACCCACTCACTCACCCACCCACTCACCACCCACTCACCACCTGCTCACCACCACCTGCTCACCACTCACTCACTCACCACCCGCCCACTCACCCACCCGCTCACCACCTACTCACCACCTACTCACCACCTACTCACCACCTGCTCACACACTCACCACCTGCTCACCACCCTCTCACCACACACTCACCACCTACTCACCACACACTCACCACACACTCACCACCTGCTCACCTACTCACTCACTCACCTACTCACCTACTCACTCACCTACTCACCTACTCACTCACCTACTCACTCACCTACTCACCTACTCACTCACCTACCTACTCACTCACCTACTCACTCACTCACCTACTCACTCACTCACCTACTCACCTACTCACTCACCTACTCACCTACTCACTCACCTACTCACTCACCTACTCACTCACCCACTCATCTGCTCACCTACTCACTCACCTACTCACCTACTCACTCACCTACTTACTCACCTACTCACTCACCCACTCACTCACCCACACACTCACTCACCCACTCAGTCACCCCCCCACTCACCCATCCCCCACCCCTCCACCCACCCCACTCACCCACTCACCCACTCACTCATCTACTCACTCACCCACTCACTCACCCACTCACCCACCCACCCACTCACCCACCCACTCACTCACCCACTCACTCACTCACCCACTCACCAACCCACTCACTTACCCACTCACTCACCCACCCACCCACTCACCCACTCACCCACCCACTCACCCACTCACCCACCCACTCACCCACTCACCCACTCACCCACCCACCCATCCACCCACCCACTCACCAACCCACTCACCCACTCACCCACCCACCCACACACCCACCCACCCACCCACTCACTCACCCACGCACCCACACACCCACTCACTCACTCACCCACCCACTCACCAACCCACTCACCCACCCACTCGCTCACCCACCCACTCACTCACCCACTCACTCACCCACACACTCACTCACCTACTCACTCACCTACTCACCACTTACTCACCACCTGCTCACCACCTACTACTCACCACCTGCTCACCACCCACTCACCACCACCTACTCACCACCTACTACTCACCACCCACTCACCACCTACTCACCACCCACTCACCACCTACTCACCACCCACTCACCACCCACTCACCACCCGTGTGTTTCCCCAGCTGCTGTCTCAGTTCATTTCGTCACACACCGGGAAAATCTACGGACGTCACATCACTGGTGAGTTACTCACCACTACTCACCACTACTCACCACTACACTCACCACTACTCACATCACTGGTGAGTTACTCACCACTACTACTCACCACTACTCACCACTACTCACATCACTGGTGAGTTACTCACCACTACTCACCACTACACTCACCACTACTCACCACTACTCACATCACTGGTGAGTTACTCACCACTACTCACCACTACACTCACCACTACTCACCACTACTCACATCACTGGTGAGTTACTCACCACTACTCACCACTACACTCACCACTACTCACCACTACACTCACCACTACTCACCACTACACTCACCACTACACTCACCACTACTCACCACTACTCACCACTACTACTCACCACTACACTCACCACTACTCACCACCACTACTCACCACTACTCACCACTATTACTCACCACTACTCACCACTACACTCACCACTACTCACCACTACTCACCACTACACTCACCACTACTCACCACTACACTCACCACTACTCACCACTACACTCACCACTACTCACCACTACTCACCACTACTCATATCACTGGTGAGTTACTCACCACTACACTCACTACTACTCACCACTACTCACCACTACACTCACCACTACACTCACCACTACTCACCACTACACTCACCACTACTCACATCACTGGTGAGTTACTCACCACTACACTCACCATTACTCACCACTACTACTCACTACTACACTCACCACCACTACTCACCACTACTACACTCACCACCACTCACCACTACTCACCACTACTCACCACCACACTCACCACCACACTCACCACCACACTCACCACCACTACACTCACCACTACACTCACCACTACACTCACCACTACACTCACCACTACACTCACCATCACTACACTCACCACTACACTTACCACCACTACACTCACCACTACACTCACCACCACTACACTCACCACCACTACACTCACCATTACACTCACCACTACACTCACCACCACTACACTCACCACTACTACACTCACCACTACTACACTCACCACTACACTCACCACCACTACACTCACCACCACTACACTCACCACTACACACACCACTACACTCACCACTACACTCACCACCACACTCACCACCACACTCACCACTACACTCACCACTACACTCACCACTACTACACTCACCACTACACTCACCACCACTACACTCACCACCACTACACTCACCACCACTACACTCACCACTACACTCACCACCACTACACTCACCACTACACTCACCACTACACTCACCACTACACTCACCACTACACTCACCACTACACTCACCACTACACTCACCACCACTACACTCACCACTACACTCACCACCACTACACTCACCACTACACTCACCACCAGTACACTCACCACTACACTCACCACCACTACACTCACCACCACTACACTCACCACTACTACACTCACCACCACACTCACCACTACACTCACCACTACACTCACCACTACTACACTCACTACTACACTCACCACTACACTCACCACTACACTCACCACTACACTCACCACCACTACACTCACCACTACTACACTCACCACTACACTCACCACTACTACACTCACCACTACTACACTATACTGATGAGAGGGGGGTGAGGTGGTGGTGAGGTGGTGGTGAGGTGGTGGTGAGGTGGTGGTGAGGAGGTGGTGAGCGACTTTCTCCCCAGGTCTGTGCAGTATGAAACAGAAGCAGATCACGAAGGCGATAAAACGTGCACAGAAGATGGGTGAGCACTCACTCACCACTCACTCACTCACCACTCACTCACCACTCACTCACTCACCACTCACTCACTCACTCACCACTCACTCACCACTCACTCACTCATACACTCACTCACCACTCACTCACCACTCACTCACTCACTCATAAACTCACTCACTCATACACTCACCACCCACTCACTCATACACTCACTCACTCACCACTCACTCACCACTCACTCACTCACTCATACACTCACCACTCACTCACTCATACACTCACTCACTCACCACTCACTCACTCTCTCATACACTCACTCACCACTCACTCACTCATACACTCACTCACTCATACACTCACTCATACACTCACTCACTCATACACTCACCACTCACTCACCACTCACTCACCACTCACTCACTCATACACTCACCACTCACTCACTCACTCATACACTCACCACTCACTCACTCATACACTCACCACTCACTCATACACTCACTCACTCATACACTCACCACTCACTCACCACTCACTCACCACTCACTCACCACTCACTCACTCATACACTCACCACTCACTCATACACTCACCACTCACTCACTCATACACTCACCACTCACTCATACACTCACTCACCACTCACTCACTCACGACTCACTCCCCACTCACACACTCACTCACTCACCACTCACTCACTCACCACTCACTCACTCACCACTCACTCACCACTCACTCACCACTCACTCACCACTCACCACTCACTCACTCACCACTCACTCACTCACCACTCACTCACCACTCACTCACCCACTCACTCACTCACCACTCACTCACCCACCCACTCACCACTCACTCACTCACCCACCCACTCACCCACTCACTCACCCACTCACCACTCACTCACCCACTCACTCACCCACTCATCACTCACTCACCCACTCACTCACTCACCCACTCACTCACCCACCCACTCACTCACCCACCCACTCACCCACCCACTCACTCACCACTCACTCACTCACTCATACACTCACTCACCACTCACTCACTCACCACTCACTCACTCACCACTCACTCACCCACCCACCCACCCACTCACTCACTTTACCACTCACTCACCATTCACTCATACACTCACTCACCACTCACTCACCCACCCACTCACCCACTCACTCATACACTCACTCACCACTCACTACTCACTCACTCACCCACCCACTCACCCACCCACTCACTCACCACTCACTCACCACTCACTCACCACTCACTCACCCACCCACTCACCCACTCACTCACTCACCACTCACTCACCACTCACCACTCACTCACCACTCACTCACCCACCCACTCACTCACCACTCACTCACTCACCACTCACTCACCACTCACTCACTCACTCACCCACCCACTCACTCACCCACCCACTCACCACTCACTCACCACTCACTCACTCACTCACCCACCCACTCACTCACCCACCCACTCACCACTCACTCACTCACCCACCCACTCACCCACTCACTCACCCACTCACCACTCACCCACCCACTCACTCACCACTCACTCACTCACTCATACACTCACTCACCACTCACCCACTCACTCACCACTCACTCACTCACCACTCACTCACTCACTCACCACTCACTCACCCACCCACTCACTCACTCACCACTCACTCACCATTCACTCATACACTCACTCACCACTCACTCACCCACCCACTCACCCACTCACTCATACACTCACTCATACACTCACTCACCACTCACTCACCCACCCACTCACCCACCCACTCACCCACTCACTCACTCACCACTCACTACTCACTCACTCACCCACCCACTCACCCACCCACTCACTCACCACTCACTCACCACTCACTCACCACTCACTCACCCACCCACTCACCCACTCACTCACTCACTCACCACTCACCACTCACTCACCACTCACCCACCCACTCACCACTCACTCACCACTCACTCACTCACCCACTCACTCACCCACCCACTCACCCACTCACTCAACCACTCACTCCTCACTCACCACTCACTCATACACTCACTCACTCATACACTCACTCATACACTCACTCATACACTCACCACTCACTCACTCACCACTCACTCATACACTCACTCACTCACCACTCACTCACTCACCACTCACTCACCACTCACTCACTCATACACTCACTCACCACTCACTCACTCATACACTCACCACTCACTCATACACTCACCACTCACTCACTCACCACTCACTCACCCACTCACTCACCCACCCACTCACCCACCACTCACTCACCCACCACTCACCCACCCACTCACTCACCCACTCACTCACCACTCACTCACCCACCCACTCACCCACCCACTCACCACTCACTCACTCACCACTCACTCACCACTCACTCACCACTCACTCACCACTCACTCACCCACCCACTCACTCACCCACTCACCCACCCACTCACTCACCCACTCACCACTCACTCACTCACTCACCCACCCACTCACCCACTCACTCACTCACCACTCACTCACCATTCACTCATACACTCACTCACCACTCACTACTCACCACTCACTCATACACTCACTCCTCACTCACCACCCACTCACTCACCCACCCACTCACCACTCACTCACCACTCACTCACTCACCCACCCACTCACTCACCACTCACTCACCATTCACTCACCACTCACTCACCACTCACTCACCACTCACTCACCACTCACTCACCACTCACTCACCCACCCACTCACCCACCCACTCACCCACCACTCACCACCACTCACCACCACTCACTCATACACTCACCCCTCACTCACCACTCACTCACTCACCACTCACTCACTCACCCACTCACCCACTCACCACTCTCTCATACACTCACTCACCACTCACTCACCACTCACTCACCCACCCACTCACTCACCCACTCACTCACCACTAGCTCATACACTCACCACTCACTCACCACTCACTCACCCACTCACTCACCCACTCACTCATACACTCACTCACTCACCACTCTCTCATATACTCACTCACTCATACACTCACCACTCACTCACCCACTCACTCACTCACCCACTCACCACTCACCCACTCACCACTCACCCACCCACTCACCCACCCACTCACCCACCCACTCACCCACCCACTCACTCACCCACTCACTCACCCACTCACTCACCCACTCACTCACCACTAGCTCATACACTCACCACTCACTCACCCACCCACTCACTCACTCACCCACTCACTCACTCATACACTCACTCACTCATACACTCACCACTCACTCACCCACTCACTCACCACTAGCTCATACACTCACCACTCACTCACCACTCACTTACTCACCCACTCACTCACTCACCCACTCACTCACCCACTCACTCATACACTCACTCACTCACCACTCTCTCATATACTCACTCACTCATACTCACCACTCACTCACCACTCACTCACCCACTCACTCACTCACCCACTCACCCACTCACCACTCACCCACCCACTCACTCACCACTAGCTCATACACTCACCACTCACTCACCCACTCACCCACTCACTCACCACTCTCTCATACACTCACTCACTCATACACTCACCACTCACTCACCACTCACTCACCCACTCACCCACTCACTCACTCACCCACTCACCCACCCACTCACCCACCCACTCACCACTTGCTCACCCACTCACTCACCCACCCACCCACTCACCCACCCACTCACCACCCACCTCTCACCACTCACCACTTGCTCACCACCCCCCCCAGGCTTCATGGCTGTCACTCTCAAGGAGCCGCTGTTCCGTAGCGACCCCCAAGTCTGCAACGTCCGGCTACCCCAGTGACCCCTACTGTGACCCCTACTGACCCCCAGTGACCCCTACAGTCACCCCTAGTGACCCCACGTGACCCCTAAACTGTGACCCCTACTGACCCCCAGTGACCCCTACAGTGACCCCACTGACCCCCAGTGACCCCACTGTGACCCCCCACACACACAGTGACCCCTACAGTGACCCCTACAGTGACCCCACCCCCACAATGACCCCACTGTGACCCCCCACACACAGTGACCCCTACAGTGACCCCTACACAGTGACCCCTACAGTGACCCCACCCCCACACAGTGACCCCCAGTGACCCCTACAGTGACCCCCACAGTGACACAGTGACCCCTACAGTGACCCCACTGACCCCTACAGTGACCCCTACACAGTGACCCCTACACAGTGACCTCCCCCCCCCCCCACACACAATGACCCCCCCCTGGACTCAATAAAGTGTCCCTGTGTGGAGACCGACCTTGACTCACCAGGTGATGAGTGAGTTGGTGAGTGAGTTGGTGAGTAAGTGGGTGAGTGGGTTGGTGAGTGAGTTGGTGAGTGGGTGGGTGAGTGGGTGGGTGGGTGGGTGAGTTGGTGAGTGAGTTGGTGGGTGAGTTGGTGGGTGAGTGGGTGAGGTGGTGGGTGAGTGAGTGAGTTGGTGGGTGAGGTGGTGGGTGAGTGAGTGGGTGGGTGAGTTGGTGAGTGAGTAGGTGAGTGAGTTGGTGGGTGAGTGAGTTGGTGAGTGGGTGGGTGAGTGGGTGAGTTGGTGAGTGAGTGAGGTGGTGGGTGAGTTGGTGAGTGGGTGGGTGAGTGAGTTGGTGGGTGAGTTGGTGGGTGAGTTGGTGGGTGAGTGAGTTGGTGAGTGGGTGGGTGAGTGGGTGAGTTGGTGAGTGAGTGAGGTGGTGGGTGAGTTGGTGAGTGGGTGGGTGAGTGAGTTGGTGGGTGAGTGAGTTGGTGAGTGAATTGGTGAGTTGGTGGGTGAGGTGGTGGGTGGGTGAGTGAGTTGGTGAGTGAGTTGGTGAGTGAGTTGGTGAGTTGGTGGGTGAGGTGGTGGGTGGGTGAGGTGGTGGGTGAGTGAGTTGGTGAGTGAGTTGGTGAGTGAGTTGGTGAGTGAGTTGGTGAGTTGGTGGGTGAGGTGGTGGGTGAGTGAGTGGGTGGGTGAGTTGGTGAGTGAGTAGGTGAGTGAGTTGGTGGGTGAGTGAGTTGGTGAGTGGGTGGGTGAGTGGGTGAGTTGGTGAGTGAGTGAGGTGGTGGGTGAGTGGGTGGGTGAGTGAGTTGGTGGGTGAGTTGGTGGGTGAGTGAGTTGGTGAGTGGGTGGGTGAGTGGGTGAGTTGGTGAGTGAGTGAGGTGGTGGGTGAGTTGGTGAGTGGGTGGGTGAGTGAGTTGGTGGGTGAGTGAGTTGGTGAGTGAGTTGGTGAGTTGGTGGGTGAGGTGGTGGGTGGGTGAGGTGGTGGGTGAGTGAGTTGGTGAGTGAGTTGGTGAGTTGGTGGGTGAGGTGGTGGGTGGGTGAGGTGGTGGGTGAGTGAGTTGGTGAGTGAGTTGGTGAGTTGGTGGGTGAGTGAGGTGGTGAGTTGGTGGGTGAGTGAGTTGGTGAGTGAGTTGGTGAGTTGGTGGGTGAGGTGGTGGGTGGGTGAGGTGGTGAGTGAGGTGGTGGGTGAGTGAGTTGGTGAGTGAGTTGGTGGGTGAGGTGGTGGGTGAGTGAGTTGGTGAGTGAGTTGGTGAGTGGGTGAGGTGGTGGGTGAGTGAGTTGTTGAGTGAGTTGGTGGGTGAGTTGGTGAGTGAGTTGGTGAGTTGGTGGGTGAGTGCCCCATCAACAACGTCGTCACAGTGCGTGCACGATTTTTATTACAAATCCCACAGTGAAGAGACACCCAAGAACCCAGCTGTACTCACCCACGTGCTCACCCGCTCGCTCACCCACTCACCCGCCCACTCACCCACTCGCTCACCCACTCGCCCACTCACCCACATGCTCACCCGCTCGCTCACCCACTCCCCTACCCACTCAACTACCCACTAGCCCACCCGCCCGCTCACCTACTCACCCACCCAGTCACCCACCCACTCACCTACTCTGTGTACAACCTGACACTACAGACAAAGCTCCCCCAGGTAGCCTCTAGCAGGGCTGTAGGGGCAAGTGCTTTGTTAGTAGCGAGTAGCAGCAGCAGCGTCTATGAAGGCTACCGGCACTGTGGCTACACACGAGGGGGTGGGTGGCCAGCACCACCACCACCACGCCCGACCGCCTTTGTCTCTCCCAGTGCTAGCGATGTTCACTACACCACCACTACCACCACCATTACTACACCACCACCACTACACCACCACCACTACCACCACCACACCATCACTACCACCACCACTACACCACCGCGACACCATCACCGCTACACCACCACCACTGCACCACGTTACTCATTTGAGGCTGAGTCGACCTAGGGGAGGTGCAGGACCGGTTCAGATAATCGCTGTCACTGCTGGTGGCCGTGAGCGGGAATTGAACTCAGGTAGCCTGGTTCGTAACACAGCGTAGCGCTAACCGCTACTACACTACACACAGACACACACAGAGACACACACTCAGACACTCAGACACAGACACTCATACATACAGACACACAGAGACACACAGACACACACACAGAGACACACACTCAGACACACACTCAGACACTCATACATACAGACAGACACACAGAGACACACAGAGACACACTCAGACACTCATACATACAGACAGACACACAGAGACACACTCAGACACTCATACATACAGACAGACACACAGAGACACACTCAGACACTCATACATACAGACAGACACACAGGGACACACTCAGACACTCATACATACAGACAGACACACAGTGACACACTCAGACACTCATACACACAGACACACACAGAGACACACACTCAGACACTCATACATACAGACAGACACACAGAGACACACTCAGACACTCATACATAGAGACACAGAGACACACACTCAGACACAGACACTCATACATACACACAGACACACACACAGAGACACACACTCAGAGACACACACTCAGACACTCATACATACAGACAGACACACAGAGACACAGACACTCATACATACAGACACACACAGACACACACTCAGACACAGACACTCATACATACAGACACAAAGAGACACACTCAGACACTCATACACACAGACACACACAGAGACACACACTCAGACACTCATACATACAGACAGACACACAGAGACACAGACACTCATACATACAGACAGACACACACAGACACACACTCAGACACAGACACTCATACATACAGACACAAAGAGACACTCAGACACTCATACATACAGACACACACAGAGACACAGAGACACACACTCAGACACAGACACTCATACATACAGACAGACACACAGAGACACACACTCAGACACAGACACTCATACATACAGACACACTCACAGACACTCATACAGACACAGAGACACACAGACACATGCAGACAGACACTCATATAGACACGCACTCAGACACACTCAGACACAGACACTCATACATACAGACAGACACACAGACATTCATACAGACACACACAGAGATAGACAGACACACTCAGACAATCATACATACACACACTCACACACTCAGACACAAACACAGAGATAGACAGACACACACTCAGACACTCATACTTACACTCAGACACACACTCAGACACACACTCAGACACACACTCAGACACTCATACAGACACACACTCAGACACACACTCAGACACAGACAGCCATACATACACTCAGACACACACTCAGACACTCATACATACACTCAGACACACTCAGACACTCATACAGACACACACTCAGACACAGACACTCATACATACACTCAGACACTCATACAGACAAAGACAAAGATCCCCCATATAGCCTGTAACAGACTGTAGGGGCAAGTGCTGTTAGCGAGCACCTATGAAGGCCGGAACGGTACACGAGGGGGTGGGTGGCCAGCACCACGCCCGACCGCCTTTGTCTCCCTAGTGGCGATGTTTACTACACACCGCACCAGGTACTCATTTGAGGCTGAGTCGACCTAGGGGAGGCCCGGAACCGGTTCAGATAATCGTCACCGGTGTTGGCCGTGAGCGGGAATCGAACCCGGGTCGCCAGGTTCATAGCGCAGCGTAGCGCTAACCACTACACTACCACTCCCCACTCATACAGACACACACTCAGACACTCATACATACACTCAGACACACACTCAGACACTCATACAGACACACACTCAGACACAGACACTTATACATACACTCAGACACACACTCAGACACTCATACAGACACACACTCAGACACAGACACTCATACATACACTCAGACACTCATACAGACACACACTCAGACACAGACACTTATACATACACTCAGACACACACTCAGACACTCATACAGACACACACTCAGACACAGACACTCATACATACACTCAGACACACACTCAGACACTCATACAGACACACACTCAGACACAGACACTCATACATACACTCAGACACACACTCAGACACTCATACAGACACACACTCAGACACAGACACTTATACATACACTCAGACACACACTCAGACACTCATACAGACACACACTCAGACACAGACACTCATACATACACTCAGACACACACTCAGACACTCATACAGACACACACTCAGACACAGACACTCATACATCCACTCAGACACACACTCAGACACTCATACAGACACACACTCAGACACAGACACTCATACATACACTCAGACACACACTCAGACACTCATACAGACACACTCAGACACAGACACTCATACATACACTCAGACACACACTCAGACACTCATACAGACACACACTCAGACACAGACACTCATACATACACTCAGACACACACTCAGACACTCATACAGACACACACTCAGACACAGACACTCATACATACACTCAGACACACACTCAGACACTCATACAGACACACACTCAGACACAGACACTCATACATACACTCAGACACACACTCAGACACTCATACAGACACACACTCAGACACAGACACTTATACATACACTCAGACACACACTCAGACACTCATACAGACACACACTCAGACACAGACACTCATACATACACTCAGACACACACTCAGACACTCATACAGACACACACTCAGACACAGACACTCATACATCCACTCAGACACACACTCAGACACTCATACAGACACACACTCAGACACAGACACTCATACATACACTCAGACACACACTCAGACACTCATACAGACACACTCAGACACAGACACTCATACATACACTCAGACACACACTCAGACACTCATACAGACACACACTCAGACACAGACACTCATACATACACTCAGACACACACTCAGACACTCATACAGACACACACTCAGACACAGACACTCATACATACACTCAGACACACACTCAGACACTCATACAGACACACACTCAGACACACTCAGACACTCATACATACACTCAGACACACACTCAGACACTCATACAGACACACACTCAGACACACTCAGACACTCATACACACACACTCAGACACAAACACAGACAGACAGACACACACAGAGATCTTTGGTCTCAGCTACTGATCCCCACTCATCCATACGGACCAATATCGATCCCCACTGGTCCATATTGATTCCCCACTAGTAGACATTGATGACGATTGATAACAACCAATCAAGACAGCTCACTATTGATCACACCTCGTCACTACTGCCTCACTATTGATACCAACTCATTCGTATCGATCACCACTGCCCTTATTGATCACAATTGGTCTGTATTGGTAACAATGGACCCTCAACCATCCAGACTTCTCACCATTGATCCCCACTGATCACAAGCGATACCGACATCCATATTGATCACTGGTGATCTCCACTGATCACTACGGTGGTGATGTCTTCATCCAGCAGTGGAGTGGCCGTGGCTGATGATGATGGAGTCACAAAGCTTCTACGTAGACAGACACAACAACAACAACAGCAGCAGCAGCCATTCGCCACCAAGTGGCGGTGACGTCACCACGACGCTTGTGCCAGGCACACACACAGACACACACACATAGACACACACATAGACACACATAGACACACTCACACAGACACACACACATAGACACACTCACACAGACACACACAGACACACACATATAGACACACACATAGACACACATAGACACACTCACACAGACACACACACACAGACACACACACACACACAGACACACACACAGACACACACAGAGACACACACACATACACGCACACACAGAGACACACACACAGACACGCACACACAGACACGCAAACAGACACGCACACAGACACACACACACACACAGACACACACACACACACAGACACGCACGCACACACAGACACACACACAGACACACACAGACACGCACACACACACACGCACACAGACACACACACAAACAGACACACACACAGACACACGCACACAGACACACACACAAACAGACACACACACAGACACACACACAGACGCACACACAGACACGCACACACACACAGAGACACACACAGACACACACACAGACACACACACACAGACACACACACAGACACACAGACACACACACACACAGACACACACACAGACACACACACAAACAGACACACACACAGACACACACACAGACACGCACACAGACACGCACACACACAGACACACACACAAACAGACACACACACACAGACACACAGACACACACACAGACACACACACACAGAGACAGTATTGGTGAGGCTGTAACCTTCACCACAACTCACCCTCTGCCGACAGCAGCCCCTCCTCTTGAGACACCCCGCGCTGTAACCGTGGCAACCGGCCACAGTCGCCCACCTCCGCCTGTTGCTGGCAATCCGCCTGTTGCTGGCGGCCTTGCAGAGGCTGCTGCTGCTGCTGCTCAGCCTGTTGCTGTTGCCATGCCGACTGGAGACGCCACTCCGATTGTTGTTGTTGGCGGCGCTCCGACTGTTGTTGTTGTTGACGCTCCGACTGCTGTTGACGTTCTGATGGTTGTTGTTGTTGACGTGCCGGCTGTTGTTGTTGTTGTTGACGCTCCGACTGTTGTTGTTGACGTTCTGATGGTTGTTGTTGTTGTTGACGCTCCGGCTGTTGTTGACGCTCCGACTGTTGTTGTCGGTCGGGCTGTGTGGTCGACTGTGGTTGCTGTGTCGAGGGCGGCTGCTGTTGTTGCTGTGTCAGCTGTGGTTGTGTCGGCTGTTGTTTTTGTTGTTGTTGTGTCGCGTGTCGTGTGGGCTGTAGTTGTGTCAGCTGTTGCTGCTGTGCGGGCTGTTGTTGTTGTTGTTGTGGTGTCAGCTGTTGTTGGTGTTTTTGCCTCGGCTGTAGTTGCGTCGGCTGTTGTTGTAGCACCAGCTGTTGCTGGTGGTGTTGCTTCGGCTGTAGTTGTGCCAGCTGTTGTTGTTGTTGTTGTGTCAGCTGTTGTTGGTGGTGTTGTTGTTGTTGTGGTGTCGGCTGCTGTTGTTGTAGCTGTTGTGTCGGCTGTAGCTGTGTCGGCTGTTGCTGTGTTGGCTGTTGTTGTGTGGGCTGTTGTTGTTGTTGTGTAGGCTGTTGTTGTTGTTGTGTAGGCTGTTGTTGTTGTGTAGGCTGTTGTTGTTGTTGTGTAGGCTGTTGTTGTTGTGTAGGCTGTTGTTGTTGTTGTGTAGGCTGTTGTTGTTGTGTAGGCTGTTGTTGTTCTGGTTGTTGTTGTTGTTGTGAAGGCTGTTGTTGTTCTGGTTGTGTAGGCTGTTGTTGTTGTGTAGGCTGTTGTTGTGTAGGCTGTTGTTGTTCTGGTTGTTGTTGTTGTGAAGGCTGTTGTTGTTGTGTAGGCTGTTGTTGTTCTGGTTGTTGTTGTTGTTGTGAAGGCTGTTGTTGTTAGGCTGTTGGTTGTGT